TAATGAAATGAACCTATGACATGACGTCACAACATTATGTACATTTAGTATACAGAAAATGATCTTCTTTCCAACAAAATACTAACAAATATCACAAAATACAGTTACATTGGTTCTTAAGAATAATGTTTGAGTACCTATACAGTGTGTCCATTAACTGCGTAATTCTTCGATATCTCGAAATCCATTATCACTAGAGAAAAACTTTTGAAAACAGATTTCTTCCGTCATTAAAGGTTCCATTTCTAAAATATTTTCAGCAATACTGTTTTTAAAGCGGGGGGACTCGGAGACGAGTATTTTTAAATAGAACACCCAGTATTTTTTATTCAAAATTCATTCCGCTAAGGTTCAGCTCTACATCGCTGTGAAAAAATTGAATTTGGTTGCGGCGTTGTCAAGTTATAATTGATAAACTCATTTTTACTACTATTGAAGGGTCATGTTGATTTGGGTATGGTATATTCATTTATAAAAATTTTGAAAATATTTTTGGCATACAGTAGTAGCAAGGTCTCACGTACACAAGTCCAGTAATTTTGCGAGATTATCCTTTACAGGGTGCTAAAATTTACATTCTGAATATTGTAAGATTCAGACGACGTTCATTTGAATTCTTCAAATGAAACACCTTGTATTTTTCATCACAGATTTATTTCGACATCATTCGCCTTTTCATAGCTGAAAAAAAAAATCAAAATCGGTTGCGGCGTTTTCAAGTTATGAGTAATTTCCTTATGTTTATCACTATCTCAAGGCAACTTATAAGGCATGGTTCCTTTATTTGATTTGAGTGTGGGAATATTGCTTGCCACATGACATTCGAGGTTCTACATAGATCATTCAGGTATTTTTGCGATATACACATTGTCCAAATTCGAAATATTCCGTAATCTTGTTACTTATGATTGAAATATGTACCTATGTGGAACAGTCATGCCAAAAGCAACGCCTGCCTTTAAAACAACTTCTACAATACAAACAATGGAGATTTGAATTGCGAGAATAAGGACAATTTTTTAAAATCTGGACCACTTTTATTGTCGTTATTCCCACAATCCAAATCTCCATTAAACTTGAAGGAGGCAAACCGTTACCCCCGGGCAAACTCTACATAATGATACAAACAATATTTCTTTCTACGCAAGTTTCGGGAGGGAATTCAGCAAAATTTTGAATAAATTCAAGACATATTTGATTGGGGCGATGTTTGACAGGCCATTACACAAATAATGGAAGTGTGTTTCGAAAAATCAATTCATAGTCTGCGAAAAAGAATTTATTGAGTACTTTGGTAAAGCACTGTATACTCATTTCTCAGTAAACAATCCGTTGGGAATTACAATTAGGAGGATAATCAATTTCTTCCGTGTATTTTTCAATGCCTATCACAAAATTCGACCGTACGTGATGACATCTAATATGAGACTGTCTTGATTCACCACTGGTCCCAAATAAATGTCTTATAGGTTGAATCATGCTGCTAACCGATTAATTTCCGAACAAACGATTCATCTATGACTAATGATCATGATGAAATTATACGGGGGAGAAATATAAACAGGGTTTTTCACGAGTTAATCAGACGTTTCTGGCAAACCAAGCAAAATATGAATATGAAAATTTGATGGTATGTATACATTGGCATGATCCAAACGTACACAATATTCCAATCGATGCTGCGTTGCCGCTTCTACTAGGAAGTAGCAGCAACTATGATTTTTCAAATGGAACACCCTGTATTCCATTGCATTTTCAGATTATCCCTGAAGATCAGATTTCATCAATGTATCGCACTTGGAGTCTAGCAGGGGTGATTACAAAGATATAGGGTATTCAAAATAGAGATTTTTCGATTTTAGGATATTTTTGTGTCGAAACTATTCATTATCGGTCAAAACGGCTTTCGTGTTCCTTTTATAACTATTGATCCACTATCCACTGACATATAATTGGAAAAAATACAGGATGGTTCAGGATTCAGAATTCTGATCACCCTGTATCTGTTCCAATTGAATGTCAGTAAATAGTGAATCAAAAATTCAGACAGGGACATGAAAGCCGTATTGACACGAAAGACTCCTAAAATTGGGGAATCTCGATTTTGAACACTCTATATCTCTGTAATCATCCCCGCTAGATGCATTAATGAATTAAGTTCTTCATGGAGAATATAAAAATGCAATACAGGGTGTTCCATTTGGAAATTCGAAGTTGCTGCTACTTTTTAGTAGAAGCGGCAACGGCATCGATCAAAATATATTAGACGTGTAGATCATGTAAATTCATACATATATTGAAATTTTTATATCCGTCTAATTAACGCTTATCGTGAAAACAGGGAAACTGGTCGATGAACAAAAATTCCTAAAATGTGAAAAGGTGTCCTCTAGTGAGCATATTCGATTTTTCAAATTTCAGGAATATAGCTGGAAAAAGAAAGGAGAAATGGGGTTATACCATGACTCTGTGTCAGTATATCACTCATAATAAAATAATGAAAATAACACTCACCAGTGTGAAAACAAGATGAATTTGTATAAAATAGTCCACTTCTGCTATTTCATTGTTTGAAATTTTTTATTTTCCACAACAAGAAACTGATTTGAATGAGAAACAAAAACACGATACTATCACTCATTTTTAAGTCAACACACTGTTTGGAATGATTATTAATTATTCCTTTCGCGTATTTTTCACTGCCTGTCACAAAATTTGACCGTACGTGATGACATATAATATGAGACTGTCTTGAATAACCACTGATCCCGAATGAATGACTAATAAGTTGAATCATGCTGCTAACCGATTAATTTCCGAACAAATTATTCGTCTATGACTAATGATGATAATGAAATAATACGGGGAAAAATATATACAGGGTATTTCGTTCACCGACGTATATCTGGGTGGTATGTGATGTGATTCTGATAATATTTGAACAATTATCTGTTACACAAAGTGTTACATTTTTAAATCATCGCTGTGATGAATACGAAGTTGTATGTTACAGAAACTCGTTTTCAAAATTCTGACAAGCCAATAAATTTTTTATCACATTTGTATCCCATTACTTGTTCAATATCTATGAAAATCGTATCCAACTCTTGAAAAAGCAGAAATTACAATCAGATGAAATGTTCGACCAAACGGAGATATCTCAGAGTTCGTAACACTTTGCATAATATTTTATATGGTTAAATATATTCGAAATGTTCTTACCTATCAGTCCCTTTCAGATATACGTCGGTGAACCAAACACCCTGTATAGTATACGAAATACCAGCTCAAACAATGTGGAAGATGACTTTTCCACAACCCCCTGTGACGTATTGATTGATGAAAGTTTAATAACCTTCAGATTATTTTAAAAGGACATCGTCCACAAATTTTGACGTATAGATATTCACCCAATCTTGAATTATTTCGAAATAACTACAACATGTATACAAGAAACATAAATTTCTACCGATTTTGTACATTAGTACATTTAGTAACTCCCAAAAATGTAACACAGTCACAAAAAATGTTCTACCATGCCGTCCCTGGTTGCGTTGTACGTATGTATGGATAGAAATCCCATAACTGGCAGTTTTCGTGTTTCAAGGTATACTGCTGTACCGGATGACATGTTATAAAGTACCACCACCTATAACTCTTTAATTTTTGACAGTACCAAAAAAGAACAAGAAATTGTCCTAATAGATATTTTTTCCTTCTCGAATCAAAAGATACTTTTTCACAATCTGCAGAAATACACGGGAAGGAGCAAAAACTGTATAAATTTTAGATGGAACACTATATATTTCCTCATCATTGGAAAGATATCCCTAAGAGCTTTCGAAAAATACTGTACTCTATATATTTATCTTTTGTATCGTTTGAATTATGGGCTTTCAAATTCTACAAAGTTGGATCAATTTTGAATGATTTTTGAAAGTAGGCCTTGTCAATGATTTCAATATCACCACCAATGAGATTTGAATGTCAATTTGCAATCATTGTCATGACGCTTTTTCGAAAATCGTTCAAAAATCGATCTTACTAGTTAGTTTTGAATCATTATTCGAAAAACCATAAGAGATCTTCAGAAGATATGCAGAAAATGTATAGAAATTGGAGGAGAACATTTTGAGAATATTCGTTGAAAAATATTAAGATACAGACAAATCTATTTCGAGAATTATAATATTTTGTAATTCTTTCCAAAAACCAAGTCCGGTCCTGATTTTTTTTGAATACCTTCTCTCAACTCTGCTGCTATATCAATATGCAAAAAAACTAATACGAATACTCTTATTCCTCTTATTCAAATGTAGAGGGTAATGGCCCGGACCAAATCGAAGATATATTCGTCTGAATTTTGTTTGATATTTTTCCACCAATCCGGTCGAAGTGTGCCATACAAATGTGTTTTTCTTGATCTTTCTGATTATGATAAAAGTTTTTGGAAAATACGATTCAGAAAGTTGTAATTTTTCAATTAAAAAAAAAGAGTTTTCCATGTTTGGCTCTGGAATTTTTCTTCCATAGCAGGCCATCATGTGGTATGTCAGTAGAGGTAAATTGCTGGTGAATTTCAGGCGAAAACATCGAGACGTTCCTGATAAATCGTTCATCAAAGTGTCGCCCCGAATTCGAATAATGCCCTGTATTTCTGTTACTAATAGGCAGAATATATTTTTGTTCACATATATATCAACTTTGGAAAGCTGTTCGAAAAGTCTTTTTTGGAGAGGAAATATATAGGTATATAGGTTCCATACACTTTTGTTGCTCCCTGTATATCTTCCCAGATAGTGAAAACGAATCTTATTTTTTTAGTCTGCTTTTTTATTTTTCTCCTACTGTCAGAAATGAAAGAGTTACAGATGGTGGTAATTAACACATAACATGTCACTCGGTACATACAGAGAAGGTTGGGTCTGTACACTGTAGTATAGTTAGTAAATACGCCATCCGATAACAGTTCCCCAATAATTGTTGTTCAATGTTTTCAGAAAAAGGCGAAACCAAAGTGAAAATACGATCCCTAGAAAAAATTATCCACATGATTTTGGCGGGCGAACGACTTCCCAACGGCTTTCTGATGACTGTAATCAGATACATCTTGCCACTTCAAGACCATTTGGCTAAAAAATTATTGCTAATTTTTTGGGAAATCGTACCGAAAACATCACCAGATGGAAAATTATTACAAGAAATGATTCTCGTTTGTGATGCGTACAGAAAGGATCTGCAGCACCCCAATGAGTTCCTCAGAGGATCGACGCTGAGATTTTTGTGTAAACTCAAAGAACCCGAGCTACTCGAACCCCTGATGCCCAGCATCCGAGCTTGCCTAGAGCACAGACACAGCTATGTCAGAAGGAATGCAGTGTTGGCCATATTCACCATTTACCGCAACTTCGAATTCCTCATACCAGATGCGCCCGAACTGATCTCGACCTACCTGGACGGAGAGCAAGATATGTCTTGCAAACGTAATGCTTTCCTTATGCTCCTACATGCAGATCAAGATCGAGCTCTGTCATATCTAGCATCTTGCTTGGACCAGGTGACTTCTTTCGGTGACATTCTGCAGTTGGTCATCGTTGAACTCATTTACAAAGTGTGCCATTCGAATCCTTCTGAACGTTCGAGATTCATTCGCTGCATCTATAACCTTCTGAATTCGAATAGTCCTGCGGTGAGATATGAAGCTGCAGGAACTTTGGTTACACTGTCTAGCGCTCCGACAGCCGTCAAAGCTGCAGCTAGCTGTTACATCGAACTCATCATCAAAGAGAGCGATAACAATGTGAAACTGATCGTGTTGGATAGACTGATCGCTCTCAAGGATCATCCGAGCCACGAACGCGTTCTGCAAGACCTAGTCATGGACATTTTGAGAGTGCTCTCGGCCCCCGATTTGGAAGTTCGCAAGAAAACTTTGAATCTAGCGATGGAGCTGGTGAATTCACGCAATATTGAAGAGATGGTGTTGGTGCTCAAGAAGGAGGTTTCGAAAACGTTAGATAGCGAACACGAAGATACAGGAAAGTATCGTCAGTTGTTGGTTCGCACCTTGCACACTTGCTGCATCAAATTTCCTGATGTAGCTGCTACAGTTATTCCTGTTCTGATGGAATTCTTGTCGGATACGAATGAATTGGCGGCAACCGATGTACTGGTCTTTGTAAGAGAAGCTATACAGAAATTTGATAATTTGCAGCCACTTATCATTGAGGTATGTTGAAAAATAGGATATCATTTTCTCATTCTTCATCCTAAAATGTTCAACTTTCTGAGTCAATCATTTCTACTCATATGAGAATACCTTTCACTTGGGTATTTTTTCAGGCATCTGGTCGAAAATGTCTACAGGGTGTCCCTAAAATATCTGTATAAAATCTCAGCACATATTCCTGGGGTCAAAATAAGCCGATTACAAGCAACTTACCTCAGTCCGAAATTGCTCCATTTCTGAGATACAGGATGGTGAAGTTAAAAAATAAAAATAGAATTTCTCAAAAATGTATGAACATTCCTAAACATATCAATTCAAAAACTGAAGGTACCTTTCCACTGTGGTCGTTAGAGGGCGCTTACCAAGGCGCTTTTTATGGCTTAGAATGGCCATAACCTATTTCTCAGTGTAGTTTTTCACTTTTTTTTGTTGAGGAAATTTTCGTGAATGTAATTTGGTCAGTGAATTAGCAGTACAAAAATGGATTTTTCAATATAATATTTTGGAGTGTACTTGCCGATTTTTATTTTTCAACTTATTCACCCTGTGTCTCGGAAACGGAGCAATTTCGGACTAAGGTAACTGGCTTTAAATCGGCTCATTTTGATCTCAGAACTAAGTGCTAAGATTTTGGACAGACCTTTTAGGGAGACCATGTATTTCATAGACGAATTCCATGCTAGAGAGTAATTATTTACATGACTGGTCTGACGTCGTAGTAGTGAAATTATCATATTATGACCATATGACTATTCCAATCATATCATTCATAACAAGCTGCATCAAACAAAAGAAGCAATCCATTCTACATTTTTTGAAAACTTCAACTGATAATGTCAGCTTGGCACAGGTAAATCAAATCTGACAGATTTTTTGTAGGATGATAACCAATGATCTTGGTTGGCATAACCAGAGATTAGTCAACCACAGAACTGACTAATCTCTGGCATAACTCTACCAGTTGGACAATTTTCCATTTCATCATATACACAATGTAAAAAAAAGTATGGAGGGAGAAAATCTACACATATTTGTGAAATTATTGTTTTTGTTGGCTGTTGGTGATGATTCATAAATTGAAATATCAAGATTTCTTTTTGGTCTTATCATAAATTTCTTAGTGATACAGTGGCTCCTACTGTTTTCATTTTGAAATTTGTTCTATAATTTCAAAATGCTATTCAAAATGATTACCAATATCTCTAATATTATAATATCAATAAACACTTCAAAACTCAGGACATCGTTCGAACCAGATAAATTAGGACACTAATATGAAAACCGCAACTTTTTATGTTCCAGACAATTGTGATACCTCAATACCTCCTAAAAATATCAAAAATCGAACACACTTGTTCTCTCATTTTCATCGCTCACAACTTTTTTGAGGCAAAAATATTCAAACAAACCCATTTATATAATCACTTGTCCTATTATATGACTCGTGATTTCATCAATTGGTTTGTTTTCATATTCTTGCCAACTAAAGTTTTCATCGGAAATAAATAATTATCCATATCTCTTTATGGACTCCTAGTATTATATTTTGAAATTGACAAGGAGTTGAGCTGTTGATTCAACATATAATATCATCAAGTTCGAATTTTTTTTTTCAGAAACTGTTAGAATCATTCAAAGACATCAAATCAGTGAAAGTTCATCGTGCTGCCCTCTGGATTTTGGGTGAATATGCGACGACAATACCAGACATAGAATCAGTTATAAAAGAAATAAATATGACATTGGGTGAGTGCCCCCTTCTAGATACAGAACAAAAACTAAATTCAGGGGATGTGAATGAATCAGTACCCACACAAACTAGCACAACTACTACCCTGGTTACCTCTGATGGTACTTACGCTACTCAGTCTTCTTTCAACACAGTGAGGTGAGTTAAAAAATCTATTCTATTAGGAATGCAGATAATGTACACAGGGCCGGACTGACAGTACAAAACGGGCCGGGCGTATTTCCCAAACCAAGCCAATTTATCTGTCAGAAAGTGTGCGTTGCAGGCGTTTTTTTTTCCTCAAATTTCAAGGTCGACTGCTTAATATATGCAATTCACCACCAAAAATATCCAGTAGTTGTTTTGTTGGAGATTTCACATTTTCAAAAATAAAACGGATTTTTATAAGAGATAGATGGAACAGAATAAATACACTTCTTTGATACCAAGACAATAAACAAAATATAATGAAACTAATGAACATAAAACGGGCGCGTATACATCAGCTTTGTTCCATAGGGGGAGAGGGATCGTGCCATGGGGGTGACAGGAAGCAAAAAAGCGCCGCAGGCGAAATTTTCTGTTGTTCAAGGTCAAATGCCATCAAATTGATAGTAAGGTTTGTCAGAGGGGTATCATAAAGGTGGGAAAAATGATTTCAAATTCACCTGAAGATTTGAATTCCCTAATAGCAACAAAAATCGAATTGTAATGTCAAGTTTACTTTGATCTAATAAAATGCTTGAGTGTTATTCGTTAACATTGTATTGTTGATGGTTTTTCAATTTCTCCACTGAAAGACTCTCCAAATCGCGACATTTCCACAGATTAGTTACTTTTCTCACAAAGCAAGTTTGAGAAAGAATGACAAAAACCATCAAAGATTTGTTCATAGTTTTGGTTGTCAAGCATTCAAATGTTAAATTCTCGTTCTGTTGCTGGAAAAGTTAGGGTAACATTTTTTGCTGTCATAATGACAAAATCACAGCGGCTCACGGGATGTTATGTACCTAAATTAAATTGTCACAATGAAAAGAGACATTACACACTGCACTTTTGGCATTTTTTGGCAAGTAATGGCCTCGGCTGACGCCTACATCACGCCATGCTTGATACATAAATAACTATTTCAGAAAATATTAATATGAAAGCCTCCATGTGATCTTGGGACAGACAGTTTCATACTCTATTTAAAATTAATTTAAATTCAGAAAAGTAGGTACTTCTTACATAATTACATGCAACTTGTGAAATAGACACGTCTATGAATATCTTTATACCTTTTTTCTACTCACATAACTAAAATGGCATTTTTCTACTCACATAAATAAAATGGCATTTAGCGTACGGATATTTACCACGCTAAATGATCGATTAATCATGGATTGACGATCTGTGATTTATTCAGAATATTAAACACGTTACCATGGCAACACGATTTCTTAAACACATTACCATGGCAACACAGTTCATTGAACACAGCTTCAGTAATTTGAGACATCTCTGGCCTCTCAATTGTATTAACGGTCAACTGTCATTTTAAAATTTTGTATCAGAATTATTCAAACAATATTCGTTGGTATCAGAATTCTTCATTAAAAATATATGAGAAATGTAGACGAAATTGAAATAGAAGAGAATGTTCTGGTACTTGCATATCTCCATGAAGTATAAAAATGAAGCATCAATCTTTGAGAACAATTTATTTATTCTGCGCTAAGCATGACAATAAACGTGAAACAAAGGTTAGTAAGCAATGGACTGGACACATCTACAACCAATATCACTTATACGTGTCTCGCTGGTTGCATGCAGTTGCATGTATTGTGTTCTTCATTCCCGAATGACGGATAGAACAAATTTTAGAACAAACAAATTCCATTCGAATTATTTTGTAAGTTAGCAGAAATAGCAGGTATGTTAATGTAATTTTCGGAGTTCGTAGAAAAAGCATAGTATGTAACGCGTTTATAAACTCTTTTAGACACTCGTTTATTAAACACTCGCTCCGCTCTGCTCCGCTCGTGCTTAAAATACTCGTTACTAAAAGGACGTTTATAACACTTGTTACATAATATACTATTCTAGATCAGGGTAGAATAAACATGCGTTTTTAAAATTTAAAATTTCTAAATATCTGGTATGAAATAAAGCTCCAACAGGCAGGCCCAGGCCAGCGGGCCAAAAATGAGTCAGGTCATCGGGCGATTGCCCGATCGCCCGACGGACCAGTCCGGCCCTGAATGTACAGGCTTTCTTGATGTCCTTATGGGATTTCTCACTTATTTTTGAATATAGAGATTTGCGGTTTTCGCGAATGTTGGCTAGTTTTTTGTGAAACTCACGATACCACAAACAACATTTTCATAACTTGCTTCGTTATTGAGATACAGGGTGAAATTAAAGAAGCTGCATTTTGGCACCCCCCTTGTATCTCAGTTATCTTTCAATTTATCGAAAAAGTGAAAACTGTGGCTCATACATTTTTTCACAGCGAATCCATTGGCGTAATCAGATGTTCAGAATAAACTGTAATTATTCAAATATAACCTATAGTTATGTTTTTTTTTAATGGAACACCCTGTAAATTTTTCCATATTCTAAAAATATAGTATGGTTTTTTAGTAGATATTTCATCAATGGGCCTTGTGTGGCAACATTCTCCATTTAAAAAGACCGCTGATACATATTTTCAATCTCATTCTATCATCTGCATTATTTCCTACTAAATGGAAAACTGGGATCGTGACCCCAGTTTTCAAAAGTGGTAATAAATTGAATATAGAGAATTATAGACCAGTGTCCATAATGTGTGCGCCAGCCAAACTATTCGAACAGATTATTTACTCAGCATTATACAGGGTGTTACATAATTTATTTATTTATTTATTTATTTTATTTATTTATTAACGGGTGAACCCAGTGTAAAAAAAAACATGAATATATATAGCCTATACAACATATCACAGACCATTGATTGATTTATACATATCTACACTTTAAATACAATGAACATTAAAAATAAAAACATTACATTATTGCAAGAATGCGTTTGGCTCTTTCAGTGCCAGTGTTAAAAATGTCCCAGTTCACTCTGTTACTCAGCGTCATCATCCTGTTTATCGGGCTATTGTTTGCATATATAGTTCTATGAGTTTCTAAATTGAACGTGCTGCTATAACGTAATCGTTTTTGAGGAACATGAAATTTTAGGGAGGCCAATAATTCAGGACAATCAATCTGATTATTACATAATTTTTGAATAGTGATGATGTCATTGTTGCTTCTACGCTCTTCTAGGCTTTTTATGTTTAGGCGATTTAAAATATTGTCATAATCAAATTCCTCCATAGGAATACCGAGCTTGAAACCAATATAACGCAAAAAACGTTTCTGAACTCTTTCTATTTTCATGATATGAGCTTGGAAGGCAGGACACCACACAGAGCTGCTATTTTCAAGTTGAGAGCGTACCAATGAAAAGTAAAGGGATTTCAATGCCACGATATTATGGAAGTCCTTTGTTGATCGTTTGATGAACCCTAGCATCTTCAAAGCTTTGTTACAGATAAATTCAATATGAGGAATAAAGCTAAGTTTAGAGTCAAAAAGTATAATTCAATACAAATATTTTAATGACATATTCCTGGGGTCAAAATAAGACTTTTTTTTCCTATAAACATGTGTCCTAAAATCCACCCCCTCCAAGCTACAGACATCGCAAGATGCGCAAAAAAAATCTTAAATTTTGAATTGTGGCTACAATTATGCATCAAATATTTTGAAAATTCACAGGCACTTGTATTTTTAGACGATCTATTCATTTCTTGATTCAAAAATAAGGTAACTCGAATCGAAAGGGGTGAATGAGGGTTGCATACAGATTTGATGGGGTGGATTTTAGGACACATGTTTATAGGAAAAAAAAGTCTTATTTTGACACCAGGAATATGTCATTAAAATATTTGTATTGAATTATGTAACACCCTGTATAATTACACTGAGAAATATATTGCAACACAACAGCACGGCTTTGTACTCAGTAGATCTGTTAATACAAATCTTTTTTCCTTTGCTAACCACGTTTATGAAACATTGGAGTCTAAGTCTCAGACAGATATTATATACACCGTTTTCCAAAAAGCGTTCCACCAAGTAGATCATGATGTATTATTGTATAAATTGAGTAGATTTGGATTGTGTGATACTATTTTGAGATTGATCAGGAGCTATTTAGAAAGCAGATATCTAGTGGTTAAACATAATGGTATATTCTCAGATAAAATCGCGGCACTATCTGGAGTTCCTCAGGGGTCAAACCTGGGGCCTCTTCTTCATTATGTTCATTAACGACTTACCAGCTCTATTCAAGTCGTCAGAGTGTCTTATGTTTGCTGATGACTTGAAAATATTCAAGCGCATCCAGACGGTTAGAGACTCTGTGAGGTTGCAAATAGATATAGATGAACTTAAAGAATGGTGTAGGATAAACAAGTTGAACTTTAACATTAAAAAATGCTGCGTTTTGACCATAATTCGTCAAAAGGACCCAATTCTCTTCGAATATATATTAATTGATGAAGCGCTGACAAGATCCACAGAAGTTAAAGATCTTGGTGTAGTCTATGACCACTCTTTCTCATTCAACAGGCATATTAAGAATGTAATTAAATCGGCTGGACGTCTATTGGGATTTATAATCAGGCAAGCACAAAACTTCAAAAGTTTGAATACGCTCAAACTTTTATATTACAGTTTAATTAGAAGTAAATTAGAATTCGGCTCCTTGGTTTGGTTCGGCGAATGTCAAGCAGCGTTAGGTCAATTGGAGAAGATTCAAAATAAATTTTTGCGTTACCTATACTTTAAAAAATATCATATTTACCCCGACTATCGTATAGACAGATCCTCACATCTGCGAAACGAGTTTAAAGTTCTATCGCTAGAGAATCGCCGAAATTTGTCTTGCATAAAATCATCAATAATAAAATCAACTCTCCAGGTATCCTGTCATTAATACGATTCAATGTTCCTCCTAGAAGAACCCGATCATCTGTAATGTTTAACATTCCACTGGTAGCCACAGCAGCCTCCGCCAGATCTCCTCTTGTATCCATGTTTCGACTGGCAAACGAATATAATGTCTTTATAAATATCGATTTGACTAACTCAGAAAAAACCTATAGAACTGCAATATTGAAGCACATTCTAGCTTTATCAATTTGAGATAGCCCCATTCATCAAGTTATTTATCAATTTATCAATTATTATATAGAAATTATAAATCTCGAAGCTGATCAATCCTTGATTCAATGATTGTACTCACTGTTCATATAGGTATACTAAAATCTCTTTTTTTATACCTATATGTTCAATGTAGGTATAGGCATCATTACTTTCGATCTATGTTTCGAAATATGTTATTTTTATGTTTAATTATCCATGTAACTAGGTTGTAAAATCTGTATGGATAATAATAAATAAATGAATAAATAAATAAATAAATAAATAAATAACACGAATATATTTACCATGCTGCTGATACAGTGTTTCATCACACACTAGTTTTAATTTTACCAAAATTCAACATTTACCAATATTCTGCACTATTTATTGATTATAAAATCTGTGGACCTAATTAGTAGGTGGCTATGAAAAAATGTGAGTGCAGAATGTTTTATAATCTTTGTCACCTACCTGTCAAATTTTCAAAATTTTCATACAAGGGTAAAAGGTAATCCAGGATATAAAAACTACGAAATTTAAGAAAGCAACTTATATCCTCAACTCTAATTTTTTGTAGTTTCAATATCCAGGATCCACCATCATATGAAAAATTTATATATTCGACAAGGATTAGGAAACATTCTATACCCTCGCTTTTTTTCATAACTACATGATATTTTGTTATGGAGTGTAAGAGATATTCAGAAATGCTGGTTGCTCAAAAAAGTGAAGAATGAACTATTTTATCAGGGCTACCTTATATTATGTTCTACCTCCTGTTTTATTCAACGACAGGAATCTAATATTTTTGATAAATTGATTATAATTGGTGACTTGACAACCTAGCTTCATGAGTGGAAATGGAAGATTATCTGACCAATAACGACACAGCATAAAAACTGACGTTACCATTTATTCGACGTATCGCCAAATGCCGGTCATGACGGTACGTTTGAAAAGAGCTCTGAATTTCTACAGTACATAAAAAAAGCGTTAGTAGTGTTTCAAAAATTAATTCAGTTCCCTAATAATACAGTGGAGTAATTGAATGCCAATAATTCATTATCAGTCCACTCGCCCCTTATAGCTTATTTCGAGAGTCTGAATACGCTATTGGATTTTATGTGAAAAAATGTGGAAAAGGCAGTTTTTACTTTATCGATAAGTTCAAAGATAACTGACATACAGGAGTTGTCCCAAAATGCAACATTTTCAATTCCGCCCTGTATCTCAAAAACGAAGCGTTTTATGATAATTTTGTTTGCAGTAACGTGAGTTTCAAAGAAAAGTAGACTACGTTCGCGAACACCGCGAATCATTATCTTCAAAAATAAGTGAGATAACATGTAAAGACATCGATAATGGGGCAGTCTGTACAGTGTAATCACTCAAGGATTGATATGAATGTTACAAGTTAGGTTCATCAGTTTGTCTGCTAATAAACACTTGCTCAAATTAACTAACTCTTGATATAATTTGTCTTCAACAAATGCAAGACTACAAAGTGAAAATACACTAGAGCATGTTCAGTAGATACCCCAATGAAACTGACAAATAATTTGATTTCACGTTTTATGTGCCTTAAAATGATGATTTTATGGGAGAAAGAATGTGATGATTTTTTATGGTATCGTGATAATTTGGTTTCCTTCACTAACCCTACACATTTTCAGAATCATGCTACTTTTAAATACTGTCTGTTGGTTAATCGAGGAGGTGGTACATTCATTATCCGAAATTTTTTGGGATTTTCTCCTCGTTTCTATAAAATAAAAATATGAATATTATTTCAATATATGTGTAGTAAGGACAAATCAGATGATTTGCCCCAAAATGTCACTGCCTTTCAAGAATTTTCCTATCAGAGAGCCTAAAAGAAAAATTCACTAGCTTGTCATTGACAATTTGTATTGAAAAAAGTTTGGAGGTGAGAAATAAGGGTACATAAAAAAAATATGAAATGTTCACTTATCTTTGGACGTTTCGGGACCGATTCTGCTCCCGTTTTCAACATAAGAAATGATTATTTTAATAGTAAAGTCCTATCTGTCTTGAAGCTTTTCAGTTTTTGTTGACAATTGGTGACGTTGGCAATCAAATGAGTTACAGGATGTTTTCATTAATTAATCTTGAATTTACCATTTTTATATTCAGATTTTAGAAGTGAATACCATGTTTTGTCTATATCAACTGAACAAGAAGCAATGCTATTGTCTCCGTTCAGAAGAATGCAAGCAGATTCCTTGATTTTCCTCGTCTGGTTGTTATCTTCTTTTCCAATGATTTTAATATTATTCCACTCTGCCATATGTTGTCCGTCTTCAGTAAGGATATGTTCATCTAGTTTCGATTTATCGATGTGTCTTTTCTTTATATTGTACTTATGTTCCTTCTACCTTACTGAAAGAGGTCTCTTGGTTTCACCTGTATAAAACTTTCCACAAACACAAGGTATACTGTAAATACAATTTTTTGACGGTTTTTCTTCATTTTTCGGCTTTGTTTGAGTTAGAATTGATCTCATTGTATTTTCAGTTTTGAACACAGTTTTCACTTGAAACTTATCACCAACACGTTTTATTTTTTCAGATATGCCGGGAATGTATGGTATTATATTTGTCGTTATTGATGGTTGATGTTGTGGTTGACCCTGTCTGTTTTCAATTTGATGAATCGTCCTATCGACAAAATTCTTTGGATAGGAATTGAGTTGGTTAACATTTTTAATGTGGTGGACTTCGTTATTGAAAATTTGTTGGTTAGATGATATTGATTTGGCTCTATCATGGAGTGATTTGATTATTCATTTCTTAATACTTTTCTGATGATTTGATCGAAAGTTCAAGTATCTGTTGTATGGGTCTTTTTACGATATTCACTTGTTACAAAGATGTTATTCGATTTTTCAATAAGAACATCTAGAAATGGTAACTGATTATTAGATTCAATTTCCAAAGTGAACTTCATGGTAGGTTCGGCATTGTTCACATAATCCAGAAAATTATCTAGCTCCATGAGGTTCTGTGGCCAAATTATGAAAATATCATCTACCAAATTGTCACTGACAAGCTAGTGAATTTTTCTTTTAGGCTCTCTGATAGGAAAATTCTTTAAACGCAGTGACATTTTGGGGCAAATCATCTGATTTGTCCTTACTGCACGTATATTGAAATAATATTCATATTTTTATTTTATAGAAACGAGGAGAGAAAATCCCAAAAAATTTGGAATAATGAATGCTACTTCTAGTTTTCTTAGAATTAGTAATGCTTTTAAAAAAATGATTTTGAATTTTTTCAAATTCTATTTCTAAACATGAATACAGCACAAGAAATATGATCTTTCACCAGAAATAGGTAGGCTTAGTTATATACAGATAAATGCCCCATTTCATTCAAAGCAACTGGAATATATTACCAATTAAGATCATATATTTGCCAATCAATACACTTTAAAAAAATTGAAAGCCCATATTATGTGTATATGTTGATGACGTGCGCAACACCCTATATAGGCTTCTTTAATAATTAAATGAATGTTATTCTATTATATGTCCATAGATCAACTGAAAATAGAAGATACAAGATTACACATGTTTTTCAGTAAATCGAATAAAGAAAAAAGGCCACCTTTACGTCAGTATTTGATGGATGGAGATTTCTTCATTGGAGCTGCTCTTGCAACAACTTTAACCAAGTTAGCATTACGGTACGGAAATATTGCTTCACCCGTTCAGAAAAATAAATTCGATGCCGAAGTTATGCTCATCATGGCTGGAATAGTTCATCTGGGCAAGTCTGGTTAGTGAATTTGTTTGTAATAATCATACAATTTCAAATTAGGGTAAGTGTTTAGAATAATTTAAGTTTAGACCGAGGTTTAGACCACCTTCGATTTTTAGGTTGCTGTGGTGGCTAAATTCAAATTATTAATTTATAATTTATATGTTCTGACTTTGACATGAGTTATCTACTGTCATCCAAATTACTCCATCTAATCATAATCAATTGATGGTCAGACTCACAGTTTCATATACACTGGTCTTGAAGACCCTCTTAACTTTGTAACCAGTTGGAAACATGGTAGTTCAGACTTTGTCTCTAAGATTTTTCCTTGATCTGGTTGTTCACTTGGTAAATCAAGGAAACTGAATATAAATAAATAATCTTTATTATTCCCAAGAAACATATATGTTTAAAGCAGGGAAAATTATGGAAGAGCAACTAAAAAAAAATTTTAGATAATCAGATAATCATTTTTAAATCATATACATAGAACATATAATGTTCTTTCTTCTAGAGACTGTTGAATATAAGTTCTTGAATTGATTTAGGATGATATAAGAGAATCAAAGACATAAGTATTTTTTCAGTTCTTTTTTGAATTTCTCAACCAGTTTTCATATAACTATTCTTGTGTAGTGAATAGTCGTCTATCTTTCTCTTCATGCCATGCGAGGATGCTGAATTTAACGAAATGGTAAGGAGATTATTGAAATTCAATAGACGATCAGACCATTCAAATGGAAAAGTTAGAAAATGAGATCTCGAAGATCTGATAACAAATTCTTCTGAAACAAGCCCTAAAACAGAACTCAAGATACTCCTCTTTCATTTTGTATATAGGTGTATTTGTTGTAAAATCAATATTTACCAACAAAAATCATCTTTACAGTGTTGCCAATTGTTGAACATACACAGGACACCAATATATACCTGAAAACACATTAAAACTTTTTGTATGAATTATTTCGCAGTTTGGCATTTTTTTCAACTGATTTCAGTGGACTAAGTGGACTCAAACGTGAAATATTGGTTCTTCCCCATATAGATATTAGGCATTGAAATTTCGATTGAATAAGAGAAATAAACACTCCAACTAGGAAAATGCCAAAATGCTCAAAGTGGAATGAAATGTTAAATAAATAGATACAAGCTCAAAGTCATCTCCACAAATGTTCATAAAATGAACATCAATGGTAGATGACAGGAGAAAAACAACTACTTTCCTGGCTAATGCCACGCAGAACATTGAATTAGATCCTCCCAAAATCTATAGGAATATACTGATGCAAATGTTCATTTCCTGAATGTTTTTTATGAGGAAGTATTTTACCTTTGATTTAAAAATGTTGTAGCTATCCAAGCTTCTTAGGTTTTTTTGGTAAAGCATTGAAAAATGTTGTGCAGTTGAAAATGGGAGATTTTTTGAAAGTTGAAGAATTATATTTAGCAATAGATATTTTTTTGCATCTAGTATTGTATCTATGAAGACTGTTCTGCAGATAAAACCTTTCAGGATGTAGCTTTATGTAAGTTACACATTTTAAGATATAGATGCAAGTAAGTGTAAAAATATTTTTCTCCCGGAAAGTCTCCCCACAGCTTTCTCGGAATTCCATATTAAATATGAGACGAATAAATCTTTTTTGAGCAATGAATCTTCTGTGCTATCCTGAGGCGGAACCCCAAGTAATGACGTTATATGCTAAGTGACTATACAGAACTGTAGTACAGTTTCATTAGCCTCTCTTGAAAATTCAACTTGTTGACAGTGGAACAGTCATAGTTTAAATGGGTGTCAAATCTTAGATTTGAGTCCGAGTAAGTACCTAGTAGCTTGACATGATTTTCAAGTTTTAGATGGTGTGTAGTAGAGTAGGGTAAATGCTTCCTAATGTGAAAATTTATGCAAAGGGTTCCTTTGACACCAGCTTTCCATGTCACTTATAGTTTGCCCTATCTTCACTTGGAGTCCCTCAGGGGTTTTTCCAGCTAGGGTAATTGTGGTGTCGTCTGCAACATCGAACTCATGAAATACCTGGAGCATTCAGGTATTATGAACGATAAGCAATATGGCTTCCGTCATCAGAGATCAACTGGTGGCCTGCTCGCTGACGTCTCACATATATGGCAGCAATCTATTGAAAAATATGGTGAAACCTTAGCCGTAGCACTTGATATCTCCAAGGCATTCGATCGAATCTGGCACAACGGACTCCTCGCCATGCTTCCATCTTACGGCTTGTCTCCCCAGCTATGTTCTCTGCTAGCTAGTTTTCTCTCAAACAGGTCTCTCCATGTAGTGGTCGAAGGAGTTTCAGCTGACTCTCTTATAATAAATGCTGGTGTTCCGCAAGGATCAATTCTAGCACCAGCACTATTTCTACTCCATATCAACGATTTGTTGGAAGCAACTTCATGTCCAGTACACAGCTTCGCGGATGATAGTACCCTCCATACCGCCTTCTCTTCCAGGGCTCCAATACCAGCCAGACAAGTCAGAAACGAACAAGGGAGAAATGTTGACAACATAAATATGGACTTGGCAACAATTCTCGAATGGGGATCCGATAACTTGGTAGATTTCAATGCAAACAAAACACAAGCAAGCCTTTTCTCTAGGAAAGTCTATCTTACTGTGCCCAACATAAGCTTGTCAGGAGTAACCGTACCTTTGACGACGTCCATTTTGATGCTTGGTATTACTATCAGCAATAACCTTTCTTGGTAAAATCACGTGAGATCAATTGCTGAAAGTGTATCCTAAAAACTGGGTTTTCTGTTTCGGGCTAGAAGCTATATCACTTCCAGTCAGCTGCTTATGATCTATAAGGCACAGATCCGACATGTCCTGGAATACTGTTCCCATATTTAGAGTGTAGCACCCAAACATACCCTGAAACTGTTGGATTCTGTCCAAAAAAGGACAATTCGTCTCGTGGGTGATGCCTCGCTCACAAACTCACTCACTACTCTGGAACACCGTAGAAAAGTTGTCGATCTGGCTCTATTTCATAGATATCTTCATGGACGATACTCTTCTGAAGTATCAACAATTGTTCCTCCCTTGGCAGTCCCCGCGAGATCAACCTGCAGAACATCTTTTTTCAAAGACTCGTTCATCCAACAAAGGAACACATTGTCAAGAGAGGTGTTCCCCGAGGCATATAACCTCTAAAAATTTAAGAAGAACACTAATTCCTACCTTATTTCTCTTGGTTCTTACGATGTTCTCTGAACATTACAGGATATCCCTTTTCGTGGGAACCAGAATATAGAAAAAAATATTGTCACTTTGCCTGTGGTGATGTAGTTTGGTGAGTCATTGATATGGAGTAGAAAATTGTTCATTTTATGAACATTTGTGTAAATGACTTTGAGCTTGTATCTATTTATTTGAATAAATACTCTTCAGGTATCTACAGCGTGTCTTAAACGACCCCCCCTCTATATCTCAGTTATTATTTATGCGATTCCAACCAAATTTGGTGTGGTATGAATAATCATCAATATGATCAGTTTTACAGAGATGCACATTATTTTGGCTAGTGCCGTGCGTTTTTATTGAACTAAAAAGGGGTCGATTTCCAATAAAATCATATTAGGCATTTTTTACAGGAAATTTCACCTCATATTATTGTTCCTCATGCTTTCAAACCCCCATTTGCAAAAAATCACCTAATTCCGAATTAACAGGATTGGCTTCATTTTTTTCATTTTCAGTCTCGAATAAATAGTGACATCAAATCAACTACGAATTTTGGAACGTTCAATGGCTCCGGTAGGTGGAAAATCATGATTTGGAAGGAAAAACGAATTATACTTTTTTATGTTGAACTCACCGTTTCCGAGTAAATAATTATTACACTCGCAAAAATTCCTGTTTTTCTGAAACCCTTCATAGGCATCTTATGAAAATCCACATATGTGGGTTTGGAACCATGAAGAACAATATTATGAGGTCAGCATTTCCTATGAAAAAATGCCTAATATGATTTAATAAAAAACTGACCCCTATTCATTTCAATAAAAATGCACGGCACTGTCTAAAATGATGTTTGTCTTTGAAGAACTGGTCATATTGATGATTATTCAAACCGATACAAATTTGGTAAATATCGCACAACTGATAGTTGAGATATAGAGGGGAGGGGGGGCGTTTGAGATGAGACACCTTTTCAACTTCAATTTCGGAATCGGTAAGTTAAATTTCGGAAAAAACAATCTCGATATCAGAATTGGTTGGTTCGATTTCAGAAATGGTAAACTCAATTTCAGAATCGGTGAGATGAATTTCAGAAATTGTGAGTTGTATTTCATAATTAGTATATAGGTTCAATTTTAGAAAATAAATCCTTATATTTGTTTGAAATGTTTTCAATTGCATGTGAGACTAACAAACTATATTTACAATATTTAACTTTTCAAAAACAATTTAATCACATAATCATAATCTCAATTTAATCCACAAATAAGGTGTTATCATTTTCATTGAATGATGTGCACATTCTTCAAGACATCGCAGTCTAAATTCTATCTGGTCGAGCAATCTGTTTGGATTCCCAGCTATGACCCTTTGGCGATGCTCTTGCAAAAAGCTCTTCACTTCTGACTTCCATATATGTTCAATCGGGTTCAACATAGGGCTGTGCCCGTCTCACGACCGCAAGGTCGTGGGTTCGATTCCCAGCACCAGCAAGGAACTTTTTTCAATATTTTATTTACGAATTAAATATTGTTAAGATTCGGAGCATCGGCTGGGGATAGTCCTGCACGATTCGCTGTTGCGTTCCAATTAACAGTGCTGCTCCTAAAGTGGCGCATGGAGTTAGTAACAAAGCCTACACAGAACACGCAAAAAGATATGATGATGTGGTTGTGAGCATCAGAGGAGAAGTAGGACGGTGTATGTAGGTGGGTGTGGAAAAACTACCAGCTGAGCGTGAGAGCGGGCCAGCTGCTTAGTAGACCTCGGTCTCGGGGGTTAACGAGGATAGTTAGCAGGCCTGCCACTGCGCATATGGTAGTGAGTACATTACTAGCCTACAAAACACAGCCGAAAAACTTTGAAAGAGAGCTGATGGGCGGTGCCTGCAAAGGATGTTAGCCAGCTCTCTTGAGCGAACCACATCAGCCATTGAAAACACTTGGGGTTTGCAAAAAGGTCCCATTAGGGACTAGTTGCTGACGTGGAAACGTCCCCCACCAGTACCAGTAGGGCTGTGCCAATCCATCTTGAAATTCTTCCTCCATGCCTTCCTTATATTCTTGAATGTGCAGGTGCATTATCCAGAACTACCACTATGGTATCTGCAGGATGTCCATTTCGAACGAACGCTCTCAAACACCGTTTCATCCGCTGTAAACAATCTTCTCTTTTGTAATTGAAAACATTTCAAACAAATATAAGGATTTATCTTCTGAAATTGAACCTACCAATTCTGAAATACAACTTACTATTTCTGAAATTGAATGGACTTCTCTGAAATTCATCTCACCGATTCTGAAATTGAGTTTACCATTTCTGAAATCGAACTAACCAATTCCGAAATCGAGATTACTTCTTCCGAAATATAACTCACCGATTCCGAAATTGAAGTTGAAAAGGTATAGTAGAAATGAAAAGGTGTAGTAGTGGCAAAAATACCGTGTTCCAGGTCTACCATCCAAACCGATCACGAACGACGACAAAGACCACGTCCTGTTCTGCCTTCGAGTCCTCTCCGACCGCACAGCGCACATCATCGACATATTCACGCAGCATTGCCGGCTCGCCATCGGCGAGATGCTGCTCGCCAAAGAGATCGAGGAGGCGGTGCACCAGAAGACGAAGGAGAAGTCCGGCAATGCCGTCCACACGGACGACGCGATCAGCTTCGTGCAGCTCGAGGGGGACAAGAGCGGGGAATTAGGGGAGAACGTGTTCGAGACGTCGTTGTCTCAGGCTCTGGTGGGAGGCAGAGGAGGTAATTCATCATGTAATAATAAAATAATAATCGTCTTTATTATTCCCAAAGAAGAAAAAAATATACAAAAATCACTAACTTATTGAAATTTTGTTTGGAAATGAAGGAGGAAGTTTATTTTTCGATGTGCAAACACAACTCAAAATATTTTTATACTTCATTCTGAACTTAGCCGGTATATTCAATTCATAAACTAATTGTACATAGTTGTTGAAGATAACCTATATAACAACAGTATTCATTCCAGGTTTCCATATTGCTGGTCCAACATTTTAATGTTATGAACTGTTTGAGTATTTATAACATTCAGTACTGGATTGCATAGCAAGTGAATTGTATAGATAGATAGATAGATAGATAGATAGATAGATAGATAGATAGATAGATAGATAGATAGATAGATAGATAGATAGAAATCTATTCAACTACGTTACATAAAAAAATTATCTTTGTAGCAGGTCAGATACATGATGGCTTACATTTAAAAAAACATAAAAAAAAAACATGGAAATTACAATAATTCAAATTTGAAATTACAAATTTGAATATTTAAAAAATAAGAAGAAAATCAATATAAATACAACAAACAAACCCATTTTCAGACAGCTAAGGAGATGTGAGTTGTTTGTATATGTGAAAATGCTCTCTGAAGTCATCGACAGAGTAGAAGCAATATCTCAATAGGTACTTTTTAAATTGTCTCTTGAAAGAATTCATACTGAGCATTTTGAGATCCTATAGCAAGATATTATACATGGAATAATCTATGGACTTTTTTGGGATAATTGAAGGTGATAGTCTGATCTGATGATATTTTTTTGTATTGTGTTCATGAATATGAGACTGTTTTAACATGAATGACTTCTTCTTGTGCATCTCAACTGTCGCACAGTATATATGCTGATCCTTCGGCGTTTTCGAATGCCATATATTAAACGGAGACACGAATTTTGAACCTTTTGAATTTTTTTCTTGTGAACAGTTGTTAATTTTGGTCTCTATAGGGAATCTGCCTAATGGAGTCGTACACAATAGTCGAATTTATGCCACGGAGTTGTACATACTAGTCGAATTCACGCCACATACTTATGTTATATTGATCATTCCGTATATAAATAATATTTGATGCAATCATTCGTTTTTTAAAATGACGCAAATTTTTTTTTTCAATAATTAGATTCGGCGACTTCGAAAAACGCAAGGTTCGATGACGTCATAAACCGAATTCTGGCTTTCACATAAACAGTAGGATCACATATATGGACGCTGCCAGATTTGTAACTAGTAATTATCTAATGAGATTCAATATGACCAATGACAATAGTATTCACATTCACAGAAGACAATAGTTCAACCTTGCAAGATGCTTCAGTACCAATAAAAATATCCTAGTAATGATCGAGATTTTATTTAATCCCAAATTATTTTGTGGCATGGGCAACAGTGTAATGTCTAAGTTCCCAGAAATACAAAAATAGAACAAGAAAACACACTACATTGTCAACCTTCCTGACGTTAATATCGACTGTCACCTTCATCGTCAAATCATTGTTTCATCTTGTCAAGATGCGAATATTCAAAGATGATCCTCATAATCTGATTCTTTAGTAGTGTGTTGTGTTCTCTGTTATCTGCAGTAAGTATTCAATCCAGAAAATTCATTCCATATTCTGAATGAAATGATAATCCGAAATATTCTTGCACTTGTCTATCAGAAATAGACAGAAATTGATACGTACGTCTAATCTTGTACGGATGATTACTTCACGCGTTTTCCCGCGTTTTTCATGTTCCATGAAATATCGTGAATTTCAATTATTAATTAAGAAACTAACAGAACTCTGGGGAAAATGGTTTAATGGGTCAATGAATAAGATTTTTCACTGAAACAGGCCCATTGAATAAAGAGGAAATGATTGTTTCACATAATACCTTTTTGGTTTCAATAGTGAATGGCGATTAACGTAAATTAGTATTTGATTACTAAAAGCTCCTTGTAGTAGTTTATTGATATGTCTTTCATATCTCAAATCGAGTTCCATAATTACTCCAAGATTTTCAGCTTCCCCTACCATCACGAGCTATTCATCATTCACAAAGATATTAATTGAATTAACTGCTTTTCCACAGTTTTTTTTACTACCGAATAGAATGAATTTAGATTTATTGGGATTTATGAGTAGGCAATGTTCGGTAGCTGCCCTTAGGGTCCCTTGATGGAAATTGACGTTGAAGTCATCTTAACAGGGTACGGACAGATCCTCGTCTCCTCTCACTCTAAAGTGTTTGTGAAACAGTTATATAGTTCCATCCTTATTCAATTCTGGGGATAAACACTAGATTTTTGACATTCGTTGCTTTTTAGGTTATATTGAGGTCACTGGCGTATCATAAGTAATTTCCATATGGTATTCCTGATTCAACTATACCTAGATATAGATGAACAATCCTCTAGTTTTAGAGTTTACTACTCCAGCATAATCTTTGCCAGGTAGGTAACATATAAATTGTACTGAAAGCTTGATATATTTCACCAAGAGAAACTGTTCTTAGACTTACCAGGGTTGACTGAATTGACTAAATGAATTCTCATTTCAAGCTGAGCAGAAGTTTATCTATGAGCTGAATGAGCTGAGCCTTATGATTGAGAAATGGTGGAAACCTCGATGTGGGTATCTGAACTACTGTACTCATGTCATGTGAGCTGAATATATTTTCGGAAATCCAATTCATGGAGTGACTAATATCACACTATGTATAAAACTTCGTCTGGGACGAAAAGTAGGCTGATGAAAACTAATACGTTAAATGTGCAGGAAAATGTCTATTATGAATTTAATACCTACTTCTTGAGGTGATGGTAAAAAAACAAACACATTTTAAACTGATTATATCTTTACTCATGAACAGTAGAATTTTTAAACAGTAAAGAATTTTATCAATCAGGGTTTTGATGATTATGTTGTAAAAAGTCAAGTAGAAACTGTATACCTAAATTCACCTTCGATAGAACATTTTATTCCCCAAAAAGCATGCTGGATTTTCTTTTAAAAATATCATGCTATCAGGGGAATATCCCAGCCATATATTCGAATTGGAAATCAACATCCCACACAGGTTTTCATGAGAATTCTTGTTCAATAATGATAAGAACTTACAGCTTATGTATGTTGGTATATATGAAGTTCAACTAGAGGTAGAGGGAGGTTATCTAATGTTGAACAGAGATAATATAGTCCTCAATCAAAACACAATAGACTGCTGGAAAATACAAAGTTCGAAAATAGACAAATAACAAAGCTGAACGTTTGAAAACTCAAAACGAAATGAACATAAACACCATTAACAAACAATGTAAACAATCCGCCAATGGCCCATAAAGTAGTACCGACATCCGCCGTTCTGGCGCTACGATCTTAATCTCAGTCGCCTATTGGCACGTTATTTTCACTCTTGCATCCTACATATTTTCTATTTGTGGTAGAGTAATAATTATATAAGCTAATGTCTTTCACCATATTGGATCCGTCATCTTGAATTTTCAAATTTTGACGAAACAATCATTATCTCCAACCCCGGAAAACTCCAGATACCTTCTAATTTTGAATAGAATCAGATCATAATTACAAAACTTGATCCCCATATGATCTTCCTCAACAAGTAAATACCCTGTACATACCTATTATTAAAATTTTGAATGATTTTCTGTAGCTCCCATGGACGTGACGTGACAGCAATGTCAGGGATGCCAGTAGACAAAACCAAAGTCTCTAGATCATTAAAAAAGAATGCAGCTATGATCTGTCCGTACCCAGCCACAAAGACAATCGACAAATATTCTCAGGAAAAATATTATTACGAGTTGTATTCTCTCGAGAGTTGCACACACTGCATCCATCATTCTGGCTTCCAACATAATTGACCTTTCAAATGTTGAAAAATTTATCGCTGAAAATCGAGGTTGCTTGGTCACGTGTGGTTCAATTCGGCTTCTGTATTGGTAGAGCAAGTCCGATAGTTTTGAGTAAAATATTGCTGTAATGCATAATAAACCGTGAAAATGGTTGATTCTGATTGGTTCTCGTGAACAAGAGTGGAATAGTCAACTATATTCTTACTAAGGCATGAATCATTGCCGGACATTTTTGAGTACATGAATTTTCTTTATTCATGTATGAGACAAATTTTCTGATATTTTCCGTGCTCTAGTAAAATAAATTATATAATATTACATAAATTATTATATGAAATAAATTGATTTCATACAATTTCCTGACTGGGTTTCAGGGAAATGTTAATATTGACTAAAAATTGAAGTGGATGTTCCTATTGAGTGTGAATTATTTGCTGCCTGAAACGTCAGCTCCAGTATCAATTAGGAAATTATAATTCGTATGTTTGAAAGACCAAGCGATAATTATTGCAGTTTTTGTCAATATTTTCGAAATTGATCAGAAAATAACTATTTAACAGAGGTGGTAAGTCCTGAAAGTCGAAACACTGTATATTGTATAATTACATATTTTTATCTGAAAGAGAATGTACATTCTCAATTTCAGAAGATAGTTATTCTTTTTAATCCTCACTGTATGTGTTCAATAGATGTAATTCAATGTTCATTGTGGCATATAGCCAGGAAAGTTGTTGTTTTCTGTTGAATATATCAGATAGAGAATGTGAATTCTCAATATAATCGGCATGTTTCCATTTTTTTCATGTTCATAATATACCTATCTGAAAATATTCCTAGGGTGTATTATCTGAAAATCCGAAGTTGGGTTGCTTCCGGTTGAACGGGAAGTGATAAAATGAATATGTTATGTTAGTATGAAAGACAATTTGGTATTTCATGTATACTACCTACACACTAAATTTGTTTTATTCATTTTGTCAGGAAGAAATTGAAAATATCAAATTTGAATTTTAATGAAGTTAATAGGATAAAACAAGGCAATTTAATTTATTCATAGCAAATAATTATAAGTCAAATTTTGGTAAATCCGAGCTCTAATGATTCAGAAATCACAGCACTGGCCGTTTTATGTGCAGTTCTTATTATACTATATCCCTGAATATGTTAGTTCACCAATAATGAGCATAAATTTCCATTCAAACTCACAAAAGAGTCAGCACAAAAAAAATTATGCCAAAAACTATTGTGAAAGCCTCGAAAATTCAAAATCTAATGCGCTAATCATAACTGCGGTGGTCATTGAAAGTGCAGTCAGTCCAAGTTATCATTCTTGGAATAAAATTACTGGTAATTCTGGAATAGAGGTGTTCAGCTAATGTTGAGAGAGAACGAAATATGTCTTTCCATTGTGTCCTTGTCTTCAGTGTTCCAACGTAAAATGATGGAAATTTCATGTTGGCAAACTGGAAATGGGACGATTTCCACACATTTCCGTTCGAAAGTTATTTGTACTTCTCTCTTCTCAAGAAAAATGATATTGCACTACTATTTTTACTGAGAGAGCACCAGCAAACAACATTTCTTCATAGAATCAAACTATAATTCGCACATAGGAAACACACTAAAGTTGAAGGTTTCAAACAATGCCCATGACAGCGTATGACATTTGATGGTTGACAAGATTGTCAAAATACCTACCGTCAATTTTCAAAATGGACCAGTCCTCAGGTTGTAGCGTAGAAACTAGCCAATGACTATTTATCTTCTCAATGCAATATCCAATCAGAATATGGTTGGTAAAAGCGCATGTGCCTTACAAAATCATCTAAATGAAAAAATCTAGTTTACAAGGCTTTCATGGAGATTTGTGTATTTACAGCATTCATTTTCTTTCAAGAAAATTGAAAATTAATGAATGATTCGATAACATTACAGGAATTGAAGGCAGATAGTTTGCTGAATCCGAATCTGTTCTCATCACTGTATCAAATCATTTCATGAATCAGGGATGTTTGTACTCATTTCCTTGCAATTTTTTTGGCGACTAGTTAATCGAGTGAAAAAGTTCAATAATCTATCAATCTTCCATTTTTGTATTCGTCATTTGTCATTGAAAAACATCGATTTACATTGTTTAAGGTGCAGGAGAATCACTTTCTGGTACCAACAAGCTGAACAAAATAACCCAGCTCACTGGATTCTCTGATCCCGTTTATTCGGAGGCGTATGTGCACGTCAACCAATACGACATCGTCTTGGATGTCCTCATCGTCAATCAAACTAACGACACCTTGCAGAACTGTACTCTGGAGTTGGCGACGTTAGGCGATTTGAAGTTAGTGGAAAAGCCTCAGCCGGTCGTTTTGGCACCTAAGGATTTCTGTAACATCAAGGCGAACGTGAAGGTTTGTACGATTTTTATTTTATATCACCTATAATAAAATATTACACAACAAGAGTTGTAAAACTTATATTAAGCACGAAGTGGAGAGAGTTACACACGATGCCCCGTATCGGCGAGTGTGTAACTCTACAATTGCGTTATTGCTTTACAACTCGAGAAATGTACTATACTCTTTCTACGACTATACTATACATCCGTTAGGATAGTAGAGATATTGTGACACAAAATTGTAGGCTCTTATAGAGCTAGTTATAATGTTTGTTCCCGCACTATGCGCGGTTTTAAATAGTGTTTTAGGTTACTTGAGTAATTTTCTTTTTCTACCAATAATGATCTTCTTCTTTTTCCTTATAAATGTGGCAAAGTGAAAATAAAAGTCGACCAATTTCAGGAGATTCCTTTGAAATTGATAGTTTGGCTGAAAATTGATTTATTCAGTACTTTACAAAATCACTGTGTAAAGTCATGATGACTGTAGTACTTTTTAGTTAAGAATAAATCGAATAGTGAGAGAGGAACTGTTCAACTTTATTTTTAATTATTCTAGACGCTAGATCAGTTTACATTAGAGTCACTGGATGGTATTAGTTTGATAAGAGTTCGGACACAGAAATGACAACGGTTAGGGTTTTTGAATGTTTAGATTTATTAAGTTACACACCTTGAATTGTGACAAGAGCACCATAGTCGTTCCGCGCTTTTTCATTCAGAATTGTTTGAATTTGACAATAAATTTTATAAACTTCATAATTGAAATAAAATTTCATAATTATACTTTCGAGAAAAAAGCAGTTATGGAAATGAATTGCTGTGTAATGAATTGTTCCAATTCTGAAAAAAATGGATATCATTTATTCAATTTTCCAAAACAAATATCAATTTGAAGAGGAGCAAAATTTGTGAGGTACTCATTAAAATCAAATTCTTATAACATCATCTGATTAGAATTAAACTTTATTTTAGGCCCATTTTCAAACAGAAGATTTCAAAATCTGTTTGAGAGAAACAAAGCAGACGATTTCAAGAACAAAATTTGATTATTATCTTCACACAAAATACAAAACAAAATAATCATGGAAAAAGAGTAATTGATCTCAAAATTACATAATGAAATTGAAACTAAGAATAGCAAGTAAACTACAACGTGATATATTATTGTATGGCGTTTTTGGTGCTTACCAAATTAAAAATTTAACAGTGAATAGTGAATTCAGGAGAGGGTGGAAAATGAATACAACAAATAAAGCGTTTGCCATCAAATATACTAGTGGTACCACAGGTTATAGACACCTTCTGAAAATGAAGTTCCGTGTATTTCGACCCAATCTAGGAAAATTGAGCTATGTGAAGTTGCTGAGAACTTTACAAAACCAAGTATGTGATAGGTCTCGTCAAAATAAACTTCTTTTTTCTCATGAAAGTTTATCGAAAAATGATTTGTTCTCTGTATTCCAACACCCTGTATCTCCGAAATAAAGCATTTCCGGACACAAGTTCATATACTTTTTTTATAAAAATCGTCTCAGGAATACTTCACTTGAACATACTCATGTTACTTCCTATATATTGAGAATACCTACCTCTAATTTAATATCAATATCTTCATGCGTTCCTCTAATTTAATATCAATATCTTCATGCGTTATACTTATCACTGGAGTACAGTTTAAGTTTATCCATATGTGTATATTTTCTAATATCAAAATGTTGTTACATGCATTCTTTTCATTTATATAACAGTTGTTCTGCTAGAAGTGTATCACTATAAATTGAAGTGGGTGTTTATACCCTATTTCCATTGTCCTACGGCTATGATTGATTTGACAAAAAATGTAACCTCTAAAATCGTATCTGACAATCAGGCGCTACTAGGGAAATTGAAAAGACAAAGAGCAGAATATATGTCTTATTCTTTTATTCACACAAACCATTGTATTATAGAAAATAGAAAAGGACAGAAGTTCACTTGTGTCCGAACTCATATCTAACTAACCATCCAGTGACTCTAGTTAACATTAGATAATATTTTAATTGCATTCATATTTTCAGACGGCAGACTCATACGCCATTTCTTTGCACTCTTCTATAGACCATCTTGTTTAGTTGTTTCACCACTAAATGACACTAAACTCTGCAATCAGTGTCAAATATTTGTATTTGGCGAGTTTATTACTGTAGGACGAGTTCTGCTCTTCATGCCATTTTTTTCTTGAATGTCGTATATTATATTGATGCATAGAAGAATTTATAATTTTTCATTTTGTTTCAGGTTGCCTCTACAGAAAACGGCATAATTTTCGGAAATATAGTTTATGATGTGAGCGGTGCCGCTTCAGATAGAAATGTAGTAGTTCTCAATGATATCCACATTGATATCATGGATTATATTGTTCCTGCTGGTTGTACCGATTCAGAATTCATGAGAATGTGGGCTGAATTCGAATGGGAAAACAAGGTATGTTTTTTGTTGGACAACCAAGCACAATAATGACTTGCAACTTTTTACATCATCCTTGATCATCAATGACCAACAGGAAGTTATTCACTCACTGTATATAGATCCCCATTGTAGACCTTAATGTATGGAAAATAACATTTACTAGTTTTCTTTGAATTGTAACGTTAGTGTCATCGTAATGTAATAATAAATAGTGTTTTCGGTTTGTATTGGTCAAGATTTGAGTTAAGGAAAAACATGACGATGTCAAAACTTTACTCAGTTTGAGAGCAGACATTTTCTTGATTTAAATCAAGTTTCATTATACTTTGAATTTTGAAACTATCATTGTAAACAGCAACAGAAATCTACGTGGTAGCTGTTTTCACATTTCTCAACATACTATACACTATACACTGAATTGAATCAGGGGGAAGTGAGTTCAGCAATATTCTGTCATTTGTCAAAGGCTTTCGACTGAGTAGATCATGAAATTTTGCTGCGCAAATTGACTATGTATTCAGGAATCAGAGTCATAAGTGGATATAGTCTCGGGTCGCTTTGGTGTGAAAATCGCTTTGGACGGATTGAAAATGGATAAGGCGTATTGGGCATATTTCGGGCGTCTTCCGAGAAATTTGAAAGTCATCGCTTCGAAAAATAACCATAAAATAACAGAAAGCATATGGCGGTTGTTTTGTTGTTGTTACTATAATAACTAGCTAACTAAACTTGACAAAAGTAATCAACTTATTACTGATAAAAATAAAAATCTTACGTTCTTACAGAAAAAAACATGCCGAGAGCAAATCTTGCAAGAAAGTTCACTTGACACTCTCTACAAAACTGAAGAATCACGTTCTACTCTGTAGAAAAATATTAAACAACAATAAAGGAACGAAAAATCGACATCCAATAGAAAATCGGGATCATCGAATTCTAATAGGTCAGATATAGCAATAAATTGTACATTTCTACAAGACATTTTAGATGAAATGCATTAATGAATGATATAAGTTGTAAGAAATATTAGTTTTACCGACAATTTACCCATTTCAATATAAATGCCGTGCAGGAATCTTATTTGTATCATGTATTTGGTATGGAATGAAAGTACCAGGCGTAACTAAAAGCGCCGGGCGTAAACCCATCTCTATTAAAATACCGTCAAAATAAAAAGAGTCGTTGCAGGTGACCGTCAACACCCCCCTCACCAACCTCGCCGACTACCTGCAGCACCTGCTGAAAAGCACCAACATGAAGTGCCTGACTCCGGAGAAAGCGCTGAGCGGCCAGTGCGGCTTCATGGCCGCCAACATGTACGCCAAGTCGATATTCGGGGAGGACGCTCTGGCCAATCTGAGCATCGAGAAGCCGTTCGACAAGCCGGACGCGCCCGTGGCGGGGCATATCAGGATAAGGGCCAAGAGCCAGGTGAGTGATGAAAAGGGCACGTTTCACGTGCAGAAAGTATCATTGTTTTCTTTCAGATTAGATATCATTGCAAGAGAACTTGAGGAAAATCGTGAATGCAACGAAAAAGTATAAAATTTCAAAAATAATATCAAATGTAAAAATTAATTACAATAACGAAAAAACATAAGGATTAAAATTATCATATTTTTCCAGTCTCAAAGATGTAGAAACTTTGAGATTCAAATCATACAAGTACAAGTAATCTTTATATTGAAATATATTTCAGTAGATCCTTACTGTGGAAGTAAATTCTTATGGTTTTAAGCAATAAAACAGTAATAGTGTTTATTTACAACCATATATGTAATGTTGTCAGTACTGTTGTCATTGAAGGTTGGGAAGTGTCACATTACACACCTCAACTTCCTGCACTCACTTATATATTTATTTATTTATTTATGTATTTCATTCTTTGCTATAAACATTACATTGCATCTCATATAAATATAAATATAATCATTAACATTTACAATGGAATAACATGAATAATCAGACAGATTCATATCTGGTATGAGATTATTCATGCCTTATCAAATTAAATTATAGTTATTGAAATAAACAACAGAATAAAAAAAATAATAATAATAAAACAAAAAGCTCATGAAAAGTACATTATGATGAAATAAATTAGTCAATGAGAAATCATTCACTCAGGTTTGATTTTCTCTTTGCAAGAGGATATGTTTCTTGACTTTAATTTTGAATTGGGTGATATTTGTGCAACTTTTGATATCATCAGGTAATTTATAGAATTTTGAGATAGCTCCATGAGTGAACTTTTTTTGACCAAGTGTAGAATGAGCAGCATCAAGATGGAACAAGTCCTATTGTCTAGTATGATGTTCATGGATTTGAAAACTCCTTACCAATATGAAGTTAGATTTGAGGTGTTTGTTGATAATATCAAAAGAAATTTTGAGAGTATTCATCAGATAGTGCTCTTCCAAAGAAAATGTATTTGTTCCTTCATAAAGTTGATTTGATGGGGTGTCATATGGAAGACGATACAGTACTTTTAATGCTTTTTTTATATAGTACAGATATTTTGTTGAAATTATTCTTGGAACAAGAACCCCAAATATTTATGAGATAGTTCATTTTACTAAGGATGTGAGAGTATAGAACGGTATTTGCTATATTCGGGAGAAGTTTTGGACATCTTCTTAAGGCACCAACTATGGGGGAATTTTTTTCTTTGAGCATGCCAATATGCTTGTTCCGTGTTAACTTTTCATCAATCCAAATACCAAGGTATTTGGTATAGGCAGTTTGTTTCAATCTTTCATTTTTTATTCTAATATTCAAATCAATATTTTGTTTATTTTAGGTATGTTCAGAACAAAACAAAGATTTATTAATTTTGATCGAAATATAATGATTGTAAGTAAAATAGTATGCAAACCTCGGTAGGAAGTTTCATTCCTGTCTCGAGATCATAGCTAACCTCGCCGCTTTGCGTCTCGGTTAACTAACTAATCTCACGACAGGAATGAATCTTTTCCCACCTCGGTGTGTATTATACTATTATCGGTATGTCACGTCATCGAAACCTAGCGTTTTTGAGTGGTGATTATTCTGATTCATCAAAAAAGTGGATTTTAAACAATGTATAAAATACTTTTTCCGTCGACCTCCTCTTAACGAGTATTTTTGATGTTTATGAAATTGATCGTTAATGACCACCTAATTATGATCAATTTGTCCATTGATGTATGATTGTGGTAACCAAACATACACCGCTCTCATTTACTTTTGGCACTATAACTTACGGAATTTGCATTCAAATCGACAATTTGGATTTCATCGAAAATTTCACGTTAACGGGTTAGCATTTCAACGTTTCTGAAACGATTTTAATCCCTGTTTTTGAACAAAAGGAATTTATTTTCTGTGTTGATTATTTCGACAAATAATGTCAAATATCACTAATATCACTACTGTCAGTGACAAGTTCGTTTTCAATCGGCGTCTCGTAGTAGGAATGAAGAGGGTAGTTGGCCTAATTCTGACAGGTTAAGTATCTAGTAGTTTTATCATTATTTATTGAAATTTCTCAAATAGAACAGGAACAGGTCAGAACAGAATGAAGTCGACACCCATGTTTCGGTCCTGGTCCGCGACGCTCGTGACTTTCAGGGCTACTGGGCGATCTTAGTAGTTTCCAGATGAATGATGAATTCGCGAACCAAGTTTTCTTCATTGCAGGAGAAATATATCGATCTCTCGATCATTAATCGCCCTCATTAATACACTAGTTGGTTAAATAATTATTATGCACGACCAAGCGTAAAACGCCCTAGGGCGATAAAGGAGCACATTGGGCGGTAATGTAATTTCACTGTTTTTCCAGTAATTCCTAGTAGACTACCATTCGATCTTTCTTTGACATTGGCATACAAAATTTGGCCAAATGAAGTCTAAATCATCAATAAATTCAATATTGACAGTAAATAAAAGTTTAAAATGGTCATGCATAATTTCTATTTATATACCAAGGGAGCAAAGGTATCCATTTCCTCCCGCATGTGAAGGCATTTAACACACATGGGAGGAAATGAACCTTTGCTTCCAAGATATATATATATATATATGATTTTATCCCAGAACGTATATATTTGAGAGCGTCATTCTTAAAATTGTGCTTAAAGCAGTCTATTTCTCGAGTCTCGATCCAAATCAATGTGTCACATGATCTAAGGTTACAATTGACCGTATTTGAATCAAATGAAAATCAATTTGACACTTCTGTCCTGTCAGTTCTGTCACATTGAATTTGTTTATTGTGTAATTTGCATTTTATTTAAAGTTTCGAAGCTTTCAATTGAGTAAGTTTAAAATATGAGATAGTGTATGAGATCATTGGAGTTCAAAGAAGAAATTGTTGTTTTTATAGTAGATAGTGATGGAGACACTGATATCTCACTGATTACTTATTTGGGTAGCACAGGTCTTATACATATATCTCTACCAAGGAAGCAATCTAAGGCCAATTCATTTCACCTCCCACGAGTGGTAATATTTTTTCCCTGTGTTAAAAAATTGACAGGTTTGTGTCCTTAATTGAAGGTGCAAATGCTTCCTTTCGATGCAGTGAGTAGATAAAATGTTGTATATATTTCGGTTTTTCGGACGTACCTTGCCTACTCACACGCTGTGGTCAATAAAAGCCTACTGGGCGACCTCGATACATGAATAAATATTACATGTAATAATCAACATAAAATAGATATATGGCGTAAATTCGACCGCTTCGACTCTTCGTATTGGATAATAACAAGTGGAACAGAAATAATAGCATATGATAGTTTGAATGTGAGTCCGTTTAGTTCCAGGTTTTGATCAAATTATTCCTAAATAAATAAGAGATAATGTTTTTATGGCAAACAATCGAGAATCAAGGTAGTGAAAAAATCGCGAGAGCTTGTTAGAGCGATTTTTTTCACTTCCCTTGATTCGAGATTTTTCACCAAATGATGAAATTTTAATACTATTTGAAATGTATTTATCAATAAAAACATTTCTCGAATGTATTCCACCAAGATTAATACACAATCACAATATAATGACAATTTGGTTTGATGGTTTGAAAAAGTAACGACATGTTTAGAAAATTCGAAAATTTTCTGACGGTAGTGACGGTGACAGTTGTTGTTTTCAAAGTATAGAAAGTGTATTGATCGAAAGTTATTGGGGAAGCTAGGTGGATTTTCATCTTTACAAATGCCTGGTGATTGGTCGGTTTTAGGAAATTGATGGAAAATCATTGGTTCTCATGATAGGCGTGTATTAATCGACCGAATTTATCGAGCTACATCGTATAGTTTTTCATTTACAAGGAGGACAATAGAATATGAAGCAGGGAATATTCTAAGAGGAACTTTAGATAACTGGCTTGATTTTTTGCTTGACATCAGATGGATCAATTCACTCTGACGCAAGTATCATTTCTCAGACCTGGCAAGCCAAGGTTAGTTTAGTTCATTGAACCAGTATTTCGCTTGATGAAGCTACTGGGTTGGCAAAACATGTCGTGTGTTTAAGGATTTTGTGGAAATCTTATCGTTTGTGAAGTTTCTGCATGTGCCATGGATTTCCATCAAGTAGTCAGTTAAAAAAAAAGAACTTTTTGCATAATTCATTATTGTTATTGTATCTCATGGGTGATGCCTCGCTCACAAACTCACTCACTTCTCTGGAACACCGTAGAAAAGTTGGCGATCTGGCTCTATTTTATAGATATTTCCATGGACGATGGTCCTCTGAAATATCAATAATAGTTCCTCCCTTGGCAGTTCCCGCGAGATTAACCCATAGAGTTGAGGCTTCGCACCTCTTCGTGGTCACTTTGGAGACCTGCAGAACATCTCTTTCCAAAGACTCCTTCATCCAACGAACAGCGAGGCTCTGGAAGATATTGCCAAGGGAGGTGTTCCCCGAGGCATATAATCTCCAGAAATTCAAGAAGACTACCAATTCCTACCTTACTTCCCTTGGTTCTCACGATGTTCTCTGAACATTACAGGATATCCTTTTTCGTGGGAACCAGAACATAAAAAAATCCTTATCGCCTAAATCGTTTAATTTTGTCAAAGAAAGAAATTTTTCTTTTCGGTTTGTTATAATCTGATAAATATATTTCATTCATATTTATTCCAATCGACCAATGAATATTTTTCCTAGTTCGTTCAATATATGAAGGCTTTTAAATATCTATTTCGTTTACATTTCCATTGGTTCTGAAATAAATTGAGTCACAGCACTATTTATTTCAGAGTCAACCATCTACATCTGTTCAGGTTGTCTTGCATAATATTTACAAATCAATTTATTACACATTATTGTCTCCTCCAGTATGTGGCAAAATTCCAAGTTGGGTGACAGCATTCATATATCTGAGCTCTATTTCCTAATTATAGTAGGCGTCCAAAGTGATGCTCTATAAATAATTCATCTGAATAGTCTTCTGCGAATTATTGAAACAATTGAAGGTACTGTCGACCTATTTTACATTTTACAATAATTTCTCTTCAAATCGACATGATGCTGCTTTATGTGTATTTTCAGGTTTTGTCCCATTCGAAATTGCTACACATGTCATATTCATTCTTCTTCTTTAGAAACACATTTGCTTTATGGTACTACATTATATCCAGAAAAGGACCCATGAAGCATGAAAACTGGAAATTCCTATTTATACATAATCATTTTGATTGAAATAAGCCTTCAAAAGATCCTACACATTGACCTATCTTTTAAATGTCATATTAAATTCCGATGTTCCTAAGCTACACATGAAATTCATTTTCATCATGGTATGGCATTATACCCAGTAAATGACGTATCAAACATGCATGAAAACTTTACATATACAATCGTTTTCTGGCAAGATATTCTATACACATATACAAGGTGTCTCAGATCAACGTACCATAAATTCTACAGGGTGAACCAGAGACCAAAATAGGCCGATATAAATCAACCTACCCCTATAATTATGATGATGATAAGAACAATTTTTTTTCTAGATTTTCTCTAATATTTCGAAATTCTTGAGAGTTACTGCTTCAAAATTCGTAGGGCTATATACTAGAGTGAATGTGCATGGAAAACATGTCGTACCAATTCAATCAAAATACAGGGAGTTTAGAATTTCGCATTTTCGTTGATAAAAACTAACGTAACCTTTTTGAGAGTACGGCACTGACCACATTTTGATATTAGAATGACAAAATCAATTTTATCGAACTGCAGTGTTTTTATAATTTCTCTTGGTTTTCGAGATATCTAACAAAATCCATTTAGGTGCTCCTCCATACTTGTTTATGATTATGACGAATATCATGTTTTGCAAGTTCTTACCTCATTTGTGTTGAGTTATTGACCACAATAATCATGTTTATGAACTACTTCAGGATATGATAATGTTGTTGGTCATCTTCAAATTAATTTTTTTTTCGAATAAAGTTTTTTTACTGGAAATCTTGATCTGAAATTTGGAAATGACCCGCTCCCAAGTCATAAAATGAAGAGCTTGCGAATTGGTGAACATGATTATTCTGGTCAATAACTCAACACAAATGAGGTAGAAACGAGCAAAACATGATAATTCTATAGCATCATAAACGAGTGGAGAAGCCTCAAAATGAAATTTGTTATTTCTCTTGGAAACCAAGGGAGATATAAAACGGGAATCAGAAAAAACTGAGATGATTGATTTTGTCATTCTTTGAAATATCAAAATGTGGTCAGTGCCGTACTCCAAGAGAGTTACAATAATTTTTATCAAAGATAATGCGAAATACCGAACTCCCTGTATATTGATTGAATTGGTGAGACATTATTTCAGCCTCTAGTTCACCCTGTAGAATTTATGTTGTTCTGGGAACCTTGTATATTCTACAGCGACCTTATCGAAAACCACGTGCCTCAAGAAAACCATTGCCCCTCGAGTCCCACTCTTGTGGAGATACATAAACGTATGTTACCCTCTGAGGGTTTTAGGATCCGAATAACGAAAAATTCAATATGATCTGTGTAAGAGTGCAAAAAATCTGAGTGAATTTATGACATTTATTCAAACTTGAACCTGCGATGAAACGTCACTGAACAATTTGCAGGAGTGTATTCGGTGAATAAGTTTGAAATCTCCTGACAGGCGCCGAAGGAATATTCTGAAAGTGGAACAGAAAGATCGTTGACACCGGATCGTGTTTACCAAGGGGTAACCGAGAACGTGCTGTGAATCGTTCTGTCGCTGATAATGAAGAGTTTTTACACTAGTGGATGAAAATATTTCGATAAATACTCGGATAATCAGTCTCGTTTCCAGTCATACCATTTAAGAAAATAACAAGTTTTCCAGCCGGAAGACATTTCACGTCCTCAAAAGGGACTAAATCTTTTTATTCCAGAAATACCAGGCATGGGCTGAGGAAATCCCATATTTTCATCTTCCAGTCAGATCTCATCGATGTTTTTTTCTTTCGAAACAATGAATTGAGTTTGATGGTTGAACAATCGAACAATTTCTTTGACCACTTCTTACTTTTGTTGTGCTGTTTTCGACAAAATGGCGATCGATAAAGTCCAAGTCCTTATTAATTGATTTCAAAATAAAGCAATTTCTAATTTTCTGAGTGACAAACTGTGATTTAAATTCTGAATCTAGTCTGAACATAGCTGATGATGAAGAATATAGCTAGCCAGTAGCTAACTAATGTAAAAGGTATGAAAAACGAATACAAAAAATTGAAGAAGAAGACAACTTGGCGACGTTGTTGATTATATCATGAAAAATAACGAACTAACAGATCAACCAGAAACTGTAGACAAGACTTATTAATAACTGGATATCAAAAATCGACACAAGTAAAACTGGATACATAACCACAAAATCAGATCAGCTCTTGGTGTGCCTGTCAGTATTTTGTGTGGTGTGGACGGGCTCAAAGTATTACGCGCTGTTGCAAGATATAATCTGCTTATTTACTAGAAAATAGATCCGTTGCCTAAAGGAACGAATTCAAGTAGAAAAAAATGACTCACCAGTTATGATTTACATTTTGTGATATGAAGAAAATAAAAAATTATAGATACTATTGCTAAATATCCTGATTTATCATTATTAGTAATCAACTTCATCCCGTAAATAAGGGATTTATGAAAATTATTCCTAATAGTCGACAAAGTAGGATAAAAAACCTATTTCATCTACTCACTGCATGGAAAGTAAGCGGGTGCTCTCTCATTTAAGGACACAATCCTGTCAATTCACTCCCATGGGAGGAAAAAAATTTACCTCCGGGGGAGGTAAAATAAATTGGCTTTATCTTGCTTCCTTGGTAGAGATAAGATCTTTGCTACCCAAGTACCTAATCAGTGTCTTTATCACTACTATAAAACAAATAATGATTTCATTTTTGAATTCCAATGATCTCATACACTTCCTCATAATATATTCCAAACTACTCAATCGAAACTTTGAAATTCAAAAAAAATTTGATCTATTTGAAGCCAGCACACCTGACCATAGTTATAATACAAGAACAGTAGGCATACTGACGGCCGTGTACATCTATCCAAAAAAACGTTGAGTACCCAATAAAAAAAATATGGAACAAATTACCTTTGCAATTGAAAACCCTAGAAACTAAAGCTTCAAAGACAAAGTTAAAAACAATTATCTTTTGCAAAGCATACTATAATCTGGATGAGTTCTTCTGTGACTACCTTGGTTAAACAACTTATCTTCATCATATTTGTGCAATATATTCCATAAATTGAGTAACTTGCAAAGTCCTGTTGAATTAGTTTATTTTTGTATTTACTGTTAAAATGTCAAATTTTAAAGTGCCTTGTGTAATCAGTTTAATGTTCTCTAATATAGCTTGAAAGCTTAGATGTTTGTTTAATTTTAATATTATTTTGTACGACATTTCTTTCTTTCCTGTATGTTTCTCAATTCATTTGGTAATGAGTTATATAGATTAATTTCAGTATGAAAAATGGATTGTTTGGATACTTTTGCACATATATCGAGTTCGAGTTCATCTTGACATTTATAAAGAAACATGTACTGGAAATTTTTATCATTTTCGCTACATGGAATTCTTTGAAATATTCAGCTGCCGACAACAAAAACACCTAACTTCCAATTCAAAGGTATTTGACCTTGGACGATGAAATTTTCACATGCGGCCTATTTTTGCTAACAAACATAATCTTTTTATTATTGAGGCCATCTCTGTTATTGTGAGTTACCCCGTGAAAAAATCTTAATGCCTGTCGATATAGCCTCAAAACAAAGGAATAGGGTTTGACCTGCCTCAATAATATAAGTATGTACGATGTTATTCGAATATTCAATTATGGATAAAATCTGTGTTTAAGTATCTAGATATCTATTTCAGATATATCTTTCAAAAATTTCCTTCAGTTTAGTAAAAAAAAATATTTTCGACGATTGATCACTCATTGATACTATTTTTTGTTATTGTTTCAGGGAATGGCATTGAGCTTAGGAGATAAAATAAATATGACACAAAAAGGTATTCAGAGTAAAGTTGTAGCTGCTTGATTTTAATCTAGAATCAATTGTCCATTGTTTAAGGACTATAATATATATTATATTTGTTAAGAGTCTACGAGTTTGTCCATATTATAAATAAAACATATATATACATTTAGTAAGTAATCAAATGTTTTATTTTCGACTTATAACTAACATGTAAATGAAACGCCATTGAAATTTTATTTATGATTACAAATACAGCTTTATTAAATAATTACAAATAAAATAACATTACCTTGATGGAACAAAATATTTTAAACACAGTTGGTGGAGCAAGACTATCATGTTTGCCTTCTGGTAGCAGTATGATGTTGAATTATGTTATTTATTCATTGTTGATCTGCAAGAGAGAAAAAACAAACGTAAAAACATCTTATCATTTGGGTTTGTGGGTTTTGGTTTGTTTTAAATTCAAAACTGAGCAACTACATTCAAAGAAACGAGAATAGAGAGATGTATAATAATAATAATAAAAATAATAGGGGCTTTACTTTTAATATCCTCGGTGAAGTCCAGCAAAGCTGTTCTACTTAACTGAGTACCATATTACATTCGAATTAAATAACCACCTACATAGTAGCTTAAATATGAAACTAACTTATCTACTAAATATATGTAAAACATTATTATCTATTCTAAAATACGATGGTTTATTAGCGAAAAAAAATTATTTAGTTGACTTTTTGAAGTGAAACATTGATTTATTCTTGAGCTCTTGTGGGAGAGAATTTTATAGTTTAACTGCATTATAGGAGCTAGAAGCATCTCTCATATAAAGCTGTTTTATGCATAGGCATCACGAAAAGACCTGTTTTTCTAGTGAAACGATTATGAATTTCCGAAGTGAATGTTAATCGATCATGCATGTAAATAGAATTTTTATCTTTCATTACTTTGTGAACCAAGCAGGCAATATGCAATTTACGCCTATTGAACATATTGAGCCATCCCAATTATCTAAGTTTATGAGAAATGTGGTCTCTGGTTCTGAGTGACTAAATTAATCTGAAACAGGAATTGTGAATTCTTTGAATTCTCGCTGATGAAACTGTATCCAAGCATGGACCATATACTAAATCAGAATAATTAGTATGACTCAATACTAGTGATTCACATAGTTGCTTTTTCAAGGGTACATTGATGAAAGACCTACTGTGATATAGATTCTTCAATGAAGAGTAACACCCAACAATAGATTTAACCTGTGCCTTGAATCTCAGCTTACTATCAATAAGAATTCCTATGTTCTCTAAACGTAATTCATTACTCTATAATTTATTAATAATCTTCATATGGTTCATTATTTTGAATGAGGCCCTACTGATTTTCTCATTCAAGTCGTGGCCACTTATGCAAATTTCAATAAAATCAAATTCATCTATCAATGGAAGAAAAATGTCATATTATGAGACACGGTTGAATGGAGAATATCAAGACTGAAAAAAAATTACAAAATTCTATTTAAAATATTAAGGCTTCTTGGGTCCTGGTTGAACAGGTTGTTGTAAAATGTATATTAGAGGTTAACACTACAGGTATCTTTGAAATTCAATTCATCCTATAGTTATAGGAAGGTGATAACTTGCTATTGCAATGTAAAGTTGTGTGCCAAACAAGTCGTACAGCAGTTATGGCTATTGTGAGTCAGGCTTGTCAATCTTGATTAATCTTCTCATCGGCTTTGACAACTAGTGTCAAAATTCAAACTATTTTTGTCAGTAACGCGCAAATGTGTGCTTGTACTAGTTTTTAATGAAGTCTGGAACATCATAGGCAGGTTTACACCATACAAACCTTGTATGACTTGTTTATGCACACAACTGTACCGGGTGAACAACTAAGAACGGCTGTAGGCCATATCTCAGCAACTAATAAGGATACAAGTTTGAGATAGAATTAATCTCATGGTATGCATATCATGACACGATGTAATAGAGAAACTAAATCTCAACAGACCAACTAAAACCGCAAAACATGATAGCTTTTCGCCAACGGAAGATATTAACTATCAAAGTAGGAAAAATCTTTTCCTCAAAATTATATTCTTACAATATGTTTTTGAATTGTGACCTATCTTGATTTTTTCCAAATTGAATTGGATTTTCGATATATCTAAAGATATAACCGAAATTATCTTCATGCAGGGTGCATCAAAATTCAGTGTCAAGATTTCAGGGGCATATTTTCCAGATCTGAATAAGACATTTTTTTTATAAAAATGTGCTCACAAACGTTCGTTAACGATCTACAGAGCGTTGAAATTTCAAGAGTTGTTTTTATATTTCTTTATAACTCTAATAGTTTCCGAGATATTCATATCAAATTTGCAACATAGGTTACGTTTCAGGGTTCACATCATAAAGTATGAAAATGATTGTGAGACTCTTCAGGAAGACATTTTTCCAGGGGTCAAGCCCCATTTCCGCAACATAATTTTTCTTGTGGATGCGCCACTGGTTGATTTTGAAATTCGAAATGAGTTCTTTTTTTTGTATCACTGAAGGCATAACATTAAGGTCAATTATTTAAAAAAACAAAATTCGCCATATGCCATATATCGATATAACTAACAGGATGTTCTCATGTTCACGAAAAGATACCATAATAAGGGAAGTATTCTATGCGTATTCTATGCAGAAGTAATTTGCCTCATTTCAATATTATTCCATCATTTCAAATAGATGCGAAATCAATGAAAACCCCATAACCACTAACTAGGAACTATCAAACTTAGGTACCTACTTTTGCAATTCACAACACTTCAACAGCTGTTGTTTTATACATTAGGCATTCAAAATATGTATTCTGTAAAATTTAATGAACGTTTTCTGCCGATTGACCGATTATAAAATAATCATTCTCATTGAACGTAGTTGTCAAGTATTTCAACTAGGGAATCTTTGGTTCTATTAAAATGCATTCCCGTCTTATTCGCTGAATGTCTCATCATTTTTTTTAAATTCAAATAGACGGTAAAATCATAACTAAATATTACAATTTTGGCAATCATTAACAACACATTCAGATATTGATTGTTTATAGTTTACTATCAAAAGCTAATCCTACAGAAACGATAAAATGGAAAAAAGTGAAGTATTTTTTATGGGCATTCAGAATCTAGTACTAGAAAATGCAAGAAAGCATCATTAACCCAAAATATTTACATAAACTGGTATTTTTCAAATGGAACACCCTGTATTTCATTTTTTAAAACGGTAGAGCCCTTTCTTCTGATTCCAGATATACAGTATGATGCAAATGTATGGAATAAATTCATTTCAAAACGAGACGACTTAAAAAAAAACAAAAATTAGAGTTTAGAACTTTTTTTCGACGTATTTTTTTAACTAGACGACCCTTCGATGTTCAATTCTCAGTAGCAGACCTCTGCAAGATTCAATTAATCACATGATAATCCATTTTAATTTCAATCTTCTTATGCAACATTTTGACTGTTGAATAGACGATCGGTAGACCTTTCAATCAAGGTGTCACATGACCCCTATTTGTATTGGAAAAAATAGTCCATTACGTCTTTACTCCAACACCGGTGACGTAACATCTCTCATATGAATATCATGAGATGAGGCTTCAGAAATTAAAACTCACGTATTTTTGAAATTTTTTCAAATGTAAACCATTTCTGAAATAATGAATTTATTCCATACATTTGCATCATACTGTATATACTTTATTGAGGTTACCTTCGGTCAGTATTTGAAAAATATAGATATTCTGGTATATAAGGCAGGTGTTGAACGCCAGACGACAATGCTGCGATTTCTGGCGTTCTACAGCTGCCTTAGAATCCATGTTTTTCAAAAACTGACAAAGAAAACCCCTAAGAAGAATAAATGTATATGAAATCAGAAGAAAGAGATCTACCGTTTAGAAAAATGAAATACATTGTTTTCCATTTAAATAATACTAGTATTCATGTAAAAATTGTAGATTGAAGATGTTTCTTTGCATTTTCTAGTACTGGATTCTGATTGCCTCTAAAAAATACTTCAATTTTGCCCATTCGAACGTTTTTGTATGGCCAATATCAACTCAGATAGCTATTGAGTAATATATAAACAATCACCCTGTACATGGACAAATCACAATTTTTAGTTTTTTACATTCATAAAACCATATTCACGGGTAGGCATATTCAATATTTTGAACAGACGATTCATATTCATAAATAATGACAATTCAAGATAATGTCAGTGGTGACAAGTGTGTCCACACTCACTTCAAAGCATTGAACGTCAAATCTTCTAGGCACTATGGTATCTACCATATAATTCGAATTCTTCCTTAGTCAGAGGTCTGCTCGCCACTTCGATACTTGTTTTTGAATCTTCTTCAAATCATACTTTCAGAGACAATATCTCACCTTATCGTGACACCTATTCCTCTTCCTCCTCCTCGTCATCTTCCTCTTCCTCGTCCACCTCTACCTCCTCTTCTTCCTCCTCCTCTTCGGGCTCGGGCTCGATCACGGGCTCCTTGAGGTCTTCGTCCTCATCGATGGCCTGTTTGCCCTCCTCCTCGCCTTCGGGAGTCTCAGGGTCTCCGGACTTTTTGCCCGGACGTTCACCGAACCACTTGGGAAGTCTCGCTATCGGAAAGGATGAATGGTTTCATTAGCAGAACGATACCGGATGTTTCAGATATTGGAGAAATGAATCAAATGGGTAATAGAGAAGAACATGGGCCAGGGAATATATTTTTGTGCAACCTGACGCAAACCAACTTTTTGTAATCGCAAGAGAGTCCACAAGGTGAGTTACTCAGACAACAGTCGGAAAGTGAATTTTCGTGTAATCGCACGCAAAGAGAGTATTTTGGGTTCTCAACACATTACGCAAATGACACTTCCGAATTTGACTTTTCTAAAGTACGACAGAGTCAGACATATTCCCGATTTGTCAAAAATTTACAAAATATTTTCTATACATTCAAACATGTAATTTTCATACCAACGCTGTGACTTTGTTAATCAAATTGAAGTACTGTTGATTTCATGGCATATAATTATTTGTAATAGGCAAGAACACAAATGTGAGAATTCAATTTAAAGGTGCATATAATTGGAATATAGTAGTAACATAACATGGATGCATTAATTTTTTGATGAAATGGGCTATAATATTTCAAAAAGTACCATTTGAATACCCTACAATTTCATGGAACGTTCGAACATAAGGCATGTTATTTTTGGAAGTGACGTCACTCTCTGATGCATCGAATTGTTGGAGTCATCAGTGTTGAAAAAAAACCGCAGTTATTTGACATGTCAATCACAACTGTTTTCTCCTTCATTTATTTTTCTCCTCGTGATTTGATGGGGATTTAGATTGTTTTCAATTAGAAGCGCAGAATTGGCGAAAACTAATGTGAAATGATGTATTAAAAGTGTTATTGGACTCCTTGTCTCCAGATCCAGGAGTTCTAGCAGTTCTTCTGATAGTTCCGAGGATGAAATATTGTTTATGTTGGGGAGTAGATGAGGTAGGTTGCAAATTCTCAACAACCTATATACAAAACATTGCATTAAATTATGATGATATGGATAGAGTCATTGATAGAAATTCTCTGTTGGTACTAAAGTTTCCTGAATGTTTGCACTAATTTCTTGAAATTCATGATGGGAAAGAAAAAAGTACCTACCACTCGAAATTTCATCAATTTATTCTGTTGGTTCATTTTCATATTATAGACTGATTTCGATTAATCCATCCATATTGTTTCTTAGGCAAATGGCAAACAGCTTCCAAATCCAATATTTTGTTTTAAGTTCTTTGAGGTTATGCTGCCGCTGTCATTCCGTAAGCCACCAAATTTCGTCCACCATCTCTGTACATCGGTGGAATGGTTTGCAATTTTGGTTGAGACAACATTAAGAAATCAACGCGTAGTTACGTCAAACTGGAATCCACCAAAGAATATATATGAACACAGTTGGTGGATTGATGGAACCACCGGTGAACAAAAGAACGTCCCTATGACCGTTTGGCGGTGCCAGTATGGACGTGATAACCCCTTTTCCTGTGTTGCCAGCTGTTTTATTTTGAGGAAATTTCAGGTAAATATTTCTTAATTTGAAATCGATCCTACTTTGAACTGTTGAGATAATTTGATATTCAATATAGTATGTATAGTATGGTATAGGTTGTTTCCCTCATTTCCAATTCTTCAAGTTTGTAGCAGACATGATTAGTGATCGAGTAGGTTGTAGCACATTGTACCATCAGCAGCGATGAAATTTGGTCTGCTACTCAATTATTCGTTGAAAAAGACTTATGCAACAATCTAAGTGAACGATTTTGGTATACTTTTTAATGAACTTCAAATTCTGTTGATATTTGACTTTAATATTGATGTCATAACATGCGACAATCCAGTGTATAGAAAAACAAGAACAAGTGAGTTTCAGATAGTCTTGAGAGCGATAAATAATGTTAAAACATCCAAAGAGGTAAAGAATCTGATTTGTATTAGTGAATTATCGAATTTTTCCCGACTATCAATAGACGGTCGATGCATTATAGAACTTGTGACGTAAGTACCGCTAACGATTTTCCCTCATTTTCTAACGGGAGCATTTCTTTGGGAATTTATTTTCAGAAATCTAGAAGGGCTACAAAATTTTACAAAATTCTCAATGCATTTTCTCATCGTGATGAACCTCATAGTATTTCTTACGAGAAATGGTCTTTTTAATCTATGCTAGAAATGAGTGTTCTTGCCTATTATCTAGTTCAATAATTATAAACGAAAAATATTGTGTATAGCATACCATAGTTTGACGGTCGTTACACAGCCGTCAAACTAACTCATGGTATGTCATGGTATATTCGAGATCATTTTTATATCTCATACGACATCCCATTTTATTCATCACTCCAAATACGTCTCACTTTAAACCCCTCTCCTCCCCCTCTGTATCTCAGCTATCAGTCGTGCGATTCGTACCAAATGTTGACCGGTATGAATAACCTTTAATATGATCTGTATTTCAGTGACAAACATACTTCGAAATAAAGACGGGTTGATTTTTTATGAAATCATACTAGTAATTTTTTGCAAGAAAAATAACTTCATATTATTGTACCTCGTGCTTTCAAACGTCCATACCCAAAAAAATCACCTCATTCCGAATTAACAGGATTGGCTTCATTTTATTCATATGTTCAATAGCTCTGGTAGGTAGAAAATCATAATATGAAATGAGAAATATGATATTCTTTGTTTTGTTGTATACTCATCGTTTTCGAGTAAATAATTATATACGTTCACAAAAAGGCTGTTTAGATGTGCCTGTTTTTTTTTAAACCATCAATAGAAATCATATGAAAATTTACACATATGGGTTTGAATCCATAAAGAACAATTATGAAGTCAGTTTTCCTGTAAAAAAAGCTTAATATGATTTCATAAAAAAATTTACCCCTTTTAATTTCAATAAAAACGCACGGCATTGCCCAAAATGATGTTTTTCTTTGAAGAATTGACCATTTTGATGTTTATTCATACCGGCCCAAATATGTTATGAAACGCGCTACTAAATAGCTGAGATATGAAGGGGGGGGGGCGTTGTTTGAAGTGAGCCACGCTGTGAAAGTACAGGGTGTTTTGAAACGGACTGACAATGCACTCTTTATCTTCATCAAATCAAAATGGCTAACACCTGTGAACCATTGTCTGCCGAGTTTAGAAACATCCTGTATACCAATATACAATTAAATACACGTTGCTATTTGATTGAACGCGAAACAAACACATGAACGGACAATGAATACAATGAAATGATACAAAAATTTCGGATTCCACACGGAAAACACTGCAATCAAACGTACGGATGATTTTATTCTTATTTCAGTGTCAGTGCCACGATTTGGTAGTTCTATACTCCATTGGATCAATTATCATCATTCATGTATTTGTATGGTCAATCCAGTCCATACAGGACATAAATTCATATATCATTTATAATAAAGCATTCAAATAAACTGCACAATAAATGAAGCTAATAATCGCAATTGTTGCATCTATAGGTCTCAAAATCTTGAATCTCAACAGTAAGTAATTTCAATGTACTCGCGACTGATTGTGCCAAACTTCAGAATTTTTTTCGAAGCTGATCAACAAACCAATTTAGCATTGTCAGCATAGGGTTTGTATTTGTTTAGAGCAGATTTTGTTTATTTTTGGATAGGGTTGGGGCATATTTTGTATATAATCCAGATGATTGTCTTTTCAAAAATCTATCAGAAAAATAAACCAGTAAAAGTTGAATTCAGGAAGTATTTATTTGTTTCTCAATGTTTTCCCTAACGTACGGACCTTGTTTCAATACACAAATTTGCATTTGAGAACACAGAATTGTGTAAAACAGTCCTGCTGGGTTTTTGAGAATTGAGAGATATATGGCAGTACCTAAATGCATGTTTGTAGAACATTTTATAGCTAAGAATGTTTCAAATGGAGACCTGAAGGTGAGTCAGGTTAGGTTAGGTTAGCTTTCTGAGAACATGAATCCTAATTGGTTTTGTCTGATTTCAGTTCAGTACAAGATAAGTAAACTACAAACATCTGGGGAAGGCAGTAATAGCCTTAGTGAAGATCATGAAGTCATCACAGGATCCTTAAAGGAGTGTGGTCAGGAAGCGAACATGCCTATATGATAGAACACAAACTTTATCTTGTTTGTGATGTATTCATTGTATTTGTTCCTGAACAAATTGTGGTTATTGTCCATTATTCGTCAACTACATTTGAAGGGACACTTGAGTTGTGTGCAAAGAAAAAATTTGGTTGAATGATGTGTATGTGAAAGTGTTTGGGTAAGTTGATGAAAGAAGAGAGAGAACGCAGGATTGATCTGATCGCAGCTGTTCTTCATAGATACTGAAGCGACAGAATGGTTGATCTCCATAAGTGGACAGCCGCAAATCATTGAAGTATTTCAATGGTCACTACGTTGCTACGATCATTTTTAGATACCATTTACCCTTCAAAAGCTGAAGGGCGTAGAAAGTAGCAAGAAATAAAGATATGGCAATACTCAAATATCCCCATCGATCTGGTAGGGTCAGTGGTGAAAAGCATTTCAGAAAATAATATGAACTGATATACCTCGAGTAAAATACGTGTATCTATTTTTGCTTATTATAAATGATGATCATATCAACTCATCATATATCTTACATTGATGATTTGGTTTCCTAAAATATGGATTTTAAAACTACCAATTTTCAATGGATCATTTTGAGAAATGTTTTTTCAGTACCATTTAACGTTTGTTATTGATTATTGCGGATTTTCAAATAGTTTTTTATTTTTTTATTTGCCATGCTGAAGTGTGGCATTTCAGTTTTATTGTGCAGTTTATTCAAAACATCTGATTCAGCACCAGATCAAAGGAGCTTTTCAAAGTATCTGAACATTTACCCTTCTGCCTGGAATCGAATTGGCCGAATTTTTCTTTCCAGCACTTTTCACTGGACTCTTTAATGAGTTCTTCAAGACCCTGTCAAAACAACAAAAATACACACTCAAACAAAGAACACCTAATCACAGAAAGTCTTATCACAGAAGATGTTTTTCTGCTATGAAAACTAAACATTGACTGAAACAACATTAGAAAAACACCACATCTCGACAATTCACGTAGACTTTTTGCTCACATACCGCGTGGTCTGTTCATGAATGCCTCGATTCTATCTTTCCATATCTTTTCCATATGTTCCATCAGAACCATATCAAATCCCTATTAAATTATTCAATGTATTAAAATGTTGAATCAAACGGAAAGATTAATGTTAGAGGTATGTGATTAGGTCATTGCTGCTTCAAGGACAAGAAGTGATTATAATTTCATAATGGTTAATAGGTTCTTTTTTTCCAGAAGTTGGATAAATGGTGAATCACTTTGGAAGTTATTTACATACCAGCTTGTTTCTTAAAAAATGCCTGCTATCTCTTTATAGATATTTATAATTATGGAAAATTTACAGGTGAGTATTACAACCGAGTACTCGAGAAATTTCATTTTTTATCAGTCTGATGGCGATCTTATAATTTGAATAAGCTGTAGGTACTAATGATGTTTCGTGCATGTTGTGTTTTTTTTAATGTCAGTGGAAGTATTGACTGTTTTGAGTTGAAAGATAATAACTTACTCCTTCAAATAGCTTCTTCTTGTCACCGTATGACCTTGTGTCAACACGACGTTCATATTTGGAGGCTACTTGGATTTTGGGCTGAAAACAATTCAAGATAAAAATGCTTACTTCTTGATAAAAATGACTATCTCTGTTTCGGTAATATTTCTTCATTCAATCTGATGTCAGAATGGATTTTATTCTTGTTACCATTCAGGGTGCATTTATGGAGCAACATTTAACTATATCAAGTAACATAATATATCATTCAACAATTAGCAAAGTTGAACTTCCTGTTGATAATTATCGATTAATAAGAACCTGTTTTCCACCACTACTAAGGTAGTTTTCGTCATTTTATGACCTACTAGTTTTTTAAGACATTGCCACTTCGGTTTTGATTTGTTCGAATTCGCTGTTCAATTCAATTCAATCCAATTCGAAATATACTTCATTGTCTTAAGTTCTCACTTGTTGACAAAGCTTGTTATACACATAATATATATAAGAACACTTTTTTTAAAATCACACACTTGTTGACAACACTTGAAATGTATATATAAATGAATAAAAATAAATTGATCCAACAGACAAAATAGGTAATGTATATATATATACACACAACAATTTGAAAGACTCTAGTTAAAGCTTTGCAGAAAATATTCAGTCAAGTTGTACAATGATGTTTGTAGAAGTAATGCTTTCACCTTAGTACGGAATTTTTTATAACATGCGATTCCTTTTATGTCATTTGGCAGATGATTGTATATTTTATTTTATTTGACCGCTCTGTCTTGTATTATATTGTGAGGAGACAAGTGGGAAGGACCGTATATTCTTATAAATCAGAGAAGCTGTTTCCAAGATATATAAAGAAATTACAGTTAAGTATACCACAATCCCTAAACAACTCTTTACAAGAATCTGTTGATTTTGCATGGCACATATATCTGAGAGCTCTCTTTTGCAACCTAAAACACCTTTGAAATAATTGGTTACTACAGCTTCCCCAGAACGCTATTCCATATCTCAGGTGGGACTCAAATAGGGCGAAGTATGTTGTTCTAGCAGATGCATACCCTAATTCAGAGGCAATTGTTCTTATGGCATAGCATCTAGAGGCTAGCTTTTCACACATAGATACTACATGGTCATTGAACATCAACTTGTTATCGATATGCAAACCTAAAAATCTTGTTGATGTTCTATTTTCTAATATGTCATTACAGATTTTCAAGTTTGGGATATTACAATGGAAAGTCGGAATATTGGTTTTCTTAATGTTGAGAGAAAGTAGGTTTGAGTCACACCAATCTTTGATTACTTTTATATCTCGCATCACATTCGTGTATAATCTCTCATCATTATTATCTTGCCATAGAATAATGGTGTCGTCCGCAAATAACGAGATTTCGCCTTTTATATGAAGAAATGCCATATCATTAATATATAAGAGGAATAAGATTGGCTCTAGGACTGATCCTTGGGGCGCACCATAATTTATCTGCGCGGTCTCTGAGGTAGTGTTTGTTTTAACAACTTGTTGACGACCGGCCAGGTAGGTCTTGAACCATTGGAGCTTATCGTCTGTGAAGCCGTAGTAGTGCAGCTTCCGCAGCAGTATTTCGTGATTTACGCAGTCGAATGCTTTGGAGAAATCACAGAATACTGCCGCAGCAGCTGCTCCCCTGTTCAGGCTAGAATATATCTTGTCCATAAAAGAAAGGATAGCATCATTTGTGCTCTTTTTTGGCTGGAATCCAAATTGTTGATCTGTAAGTATATTATTCGCAGTTAAATACTCCAACATTCGGATTTTAACCAGCTTCTCAATAATTTTAGCTAAAGTGGGTATAAGCGCAATAGGACGGTAATTATTGGGATCTAAAGAATCACCACCTTTATAAATAGGGATGCGAAATTCGCAGGAATAGCACTCGAATCTAGTAGGTATTCATCAACGACTTGTCATATGCTGTCATTTGTTTTTTTTTTGTTTTTGTGAAAACTCCTCCCAGTTGAAAATGTTAACTTGTTCCATCAGAGTGAATGATAAGAATAAGAGTCGAAACAGACAAAATAACACTCTCTAATACATTGCAATCTATATATTATAGAACTTACCGGGTATTTTCCGGTGAGGGCTTCAGGGTCAAGACCTTTCTTCAAGGCTTTATGCCTCAACTGTTGCTTCTGCCTCTCTTTCAGTTCTTTAAGCTGCAATAAAACCACTTTTATACCCGATGCTCTAACCGAATTCGTGCTTATCTTACATCGTAGTCTTGACGCTTCTGCCTCTCTTCCAAATCGTACTTTTCTGTCTCCAGTTTGACGATGCACTCCCAGAGCTCTTGCGCCCTCTCGCGGAGCTTTTCTGCACTGAGACCGTCGACGATCAAAGGCTTGATGCGGATGGAAAGAGAGATTTTCTTCTCTTCTTCGAGCTGCTCTTTGGTCTTGTTCCTTTCCAGCTGGGCAGCGCTAAGGGTGGTCTGTTGGAAGATTTACTTTTAAAAGTACCTACTTGTATGAACTTTTCATCAGAATTTGAAATATTTCGCAAGATTTCATCAGATATCTCTTCTTATGTAGGGCTGCCACTCATATATTTCATGCATGAATAATTTATCAACAAATCAAATACCCTCTACTTATGGTAATGATTATTCCTATGCTAATATAAAATTATGGACTGGGAATTCTATTAAAATTTAGTTACCTACTAGTATATATATATAAGCTGTTTATCGTTGAAACCAGAAACCGTGTGGTCATTCCAAGATAGCTATAATAACTGGAAAGTGTTTAATTGCACCTAAGTTGTTATGATGAGAGTTATCCAGGATATTCAATACTCTCGAAATCATGTGAGTACATGATATTAGTTCTTATTTGATTGATCTGTTCGCCTTTATTTTCTCAACGAACGTTGAGTACTATCAGTGATGTGCTTGGATGTTTGCTTGAACAATAATCTTCTTTCAATATACTCTGATATGACTGACTGTGCCTATCAAAGTTATTTCTTAGATATATTTTTATTTATTTCATGGAAATCTGTTACCTTTATAATGTTTTGATTTCTAAAGAAGTAATTTCAGATAATTCAATTTTGGGATTGCATATGCAAAGTGGACCTGAAATGAGAATCAATTCCAAACCACTGACATGCATGCAATATCATTTCATCGAGTAATAAGATTTAGTATAAACAAAAGTGAACCTATGTGGTAAACTAGATGATATTTCTGTTGAAGTCTCAATGGTAGTAGGTATCATTCATTAGAAACTTTTCAAATTTGAATGAGAGCTCTATAATTGAAGAAAGAATAAATCTTCAATTTATTCAATGGGTTATGTTACAATAGGAGGGACATAACCATGTTAACCCATTAAATGTCGTGGAGATGACAGAGATTTATTCCTTCTTCAACTACTACCGCTCCACTTTGAGCAGTATTTATTTCTTCACATTTTTGAGATTTGTAATTTTCCTCTCAATTTCCTCATCGTTACTGAATTCATTCATATTGAAAATAAAAACTTGTCCCAGAACTTGATGAACCTTGAAATATACAACATTTTATTGTAATTCATCATTTAGAATCTGGAATATTATTCCCATCAATCTATTCTCTAGTCACTATTATAGATTCCTTGAGACCTGGGTATCTCAACCAAACTTCGCTTTGTCTTGACGTTCTGATGAAAGACAATTATACGTATAGTCACTGAATAAAAATTTCTTTTCTCACCAAAGAAAATCTTTTGAATCAATATAGATTTGAATATGCACTGTTCTTCCGTTGTAGTCGCTTTTTAGTAGGGTCTGGGGACTATCTGGTTGGAGAACATGGAAAACATCCATAATCTAGTACACAATGAGCTCTCTTCAAAAATGTGAACAAATCTGAAATATTCAGATTCTCAAGGCCTATTATTGTTTGTTGAAAGGTTCAAAATCTCAAAAACGACTATTGAGCATTTTTTTCGAAAAAGTAATAAGCAGCCCATTTTTAGGCAAAGCTGAAACACCCCTACATAAAATTTTACCGTTATTCTTACCTTATATAGAGTGTTAGTTATTCAATGGCAAATTTTAATATTTCTGCTTCTCCAATTCATCTTGTATTCTAAGAAGATATAACTAGTGAAGGAACACATCGATCACTTAGTTTCGAAGTTTCATCGTAAGTTTCACAGGAAGATGTCTCTAGATCTCGTGACTCCCGAATTATTCATTTTCAAATTGTGGCAACCCTATGACAAAAGCAATCAGCTCCAAATAACAGTCAACATTAAAAGGAGAAACGTCACAAAGAATGCTACAAAATGAAAAAATAATGAATTATTCTTGCTGCTTATTTCTACAGTATTTAATGATCTCGTCTTGTGAATTTCCTCAATATAAAATTTTGGCAAAAATATTTCATTAACCAATTTTGTTGATTTCCAATGAAATTACTAGCGATATTATCGTGACTCCCTCATTTTTGTATAGTAGGTAGCAAACCTATGACAAAAGCAAGCAGCCTACTTCAAATAATAGTCAGCATTAAAAGGGGTAAACGTCACGAAGACTGCCAAAGAATAAAAATTAATAATAATCATTGGTTTTCATCTCTACAGTATTTACTGACGTTTCACCATTCAATGTTGCTAATGGGGTTAGTTAAAGTTGAAGGGAATCGAATCTGTATCGTTTTGAAATTAGCATATTCCATTCTATATTTCAAAAAGCCAGATATGATAGTGGAGCCGTGACGTATCAATCCCGAACTGTAGCTATCTCTCTCTGATACATCGCCATTCTGCAGTATTGCAGTGTGATTGGTCCGATCAAGGAAAATAGGCGTGTTGGCACTGATACGTCACACCATTCACACCAAATGAGTTGACACCATTTCAAATAGTGCAGGAAGTGTGTGTTTCAGAGTGAACATATTCAAATTTATTTTTTCAAGTCCTAGTATGAATGAAAGAATTCAAAATTATATCAACTTTATAGTTCTCTCGTATAGAGCTCACGATGCTGTCGTAAAAAATCTGTGGTCTCCCCCATCGTCACTCTAATAATAAGTATGAAAACATTATTTGTTTACAGTGGCGTCTCTCTTGGTGATGGTGAAATTACTTCACTATCGTTCTCGGTTTAAACATTTCCTCAAAATAAAATTTTGTCAGAAGTCTTTGATCAATCAAATTGATTTTGTTGATTTCTGATAGAATTACTAGCTCATTTTTCAATAGTAGCAACCCTATGACAGAAGCAAGCAGCCTACTTCAAATATTAGTCAACATAAAAAGGAGGAAACGTCACAAAGACTTCCACAAAATAAAAAAAATAGAATAATTCTTGCTTTTTATTTCTACAGTATTTACTGACGTTTCACCATTCAATGTTGCTAATCCTCACTCCTCCTATAATAAGTATAAAGGCATTTTTCGCTTACGGTGACGTCTCTCTTGGTGATGGTGAAGTTGGGCCCCTTGTTCTTGTTCTGGTCCTTCATGGCGGCCATCATGGCTTGGCGCTTCTTCTCGGCTTCCTCGAGACGCTGCCTCTTCTCCTCGATGTCGCGCTGCTTCTTTTCTTCGATCTCACGCACGCGCCTCTCTTCTTCTGCCTTCTTGCGCTCCGCCATCTTCCTTTCCTCATCGGCTCTGGCGACCTTGAATGAGTCAATAAATAATTGAATTTGTATGCACGATCTGTCGTGAAGTGGCACTTTAGCGCCCGCGAACTACTTTATCGCCCTACGTGTTTATAGGTTACTCGTAATGAGCATTTCTATATATTTCTATGTTTCAGTTGTGATGGTTGATAATCTAATATCACAGTTCTCTTGATATTTTTGAGATGCAAAATGATTGTGATTGAACCCAATAGTTAATTATACACCAAGGTAGTAAAGAATACCAGAGTATTACCCAGGGACCAAGGTTATGTCCTGAGGCTTCAGCCGAGGGATATAAGGTCCCGTGGTAATGATTTGGTTTTCTGTGACGAGAAAAAAGTTTGGCATTTCATCTCTGTTGGCAGGTTATAAAATGTCACTTTTCATAAAATATTTTTTTCCCGCGGGAAAAAAGTACTCACTTTTTTCCCGGATATATATCACATATATATATACACTGTTGATGGCTTTTGTTGTGCTATAGTTCCGAAAGCCAACAACGCAGGTATATCCCTACTGTTGAAAACTTAAAATTTCACGTCGATAATACACGATAATACACGGGAAAAATATTAGATTTTACCTCACGGTTTTTTTTCTCCCTCCGCTACGCGTCGTGAGGCAATACAACCTGGAGCTAAAATCTACTACTTTTTTCCCTCGTGTAATAAATAACTATTTTTTTCGGATATAAAGGTGCACTGTTGATGGCTTTTGTTGTGCCAGTATCGAAAAATAAGCCTATAACACCGTCTCTCCGAGAAAAAACTGAAAGTCATTTTATCTTCTATTCCACTTCGCTCTTACACAAATTACTAAACAGCCACTAAGTTCGCAATTTTTTAAAATCAGAACACATAATCAGACTGACAGATATTTTACTACTTCGAAAATCATACTTGAATCAAATATCAATTGATAGTGGATAAAAAGTTGAGATAGAGACATGTTAACCGTTTTGACCAATTATTGATAAATATTGTCTGTAGGTTAATCGAGGAGGTGATACATTCATTTTACTTGATTCTTCGGGATTTTCTCTCGTTTCTATAAAATGAAAATATTCGTATTATATCAATATATTTGTAGTGGTACAAATCAGACGATTTGCCCCAAAATGTCACTGCGTTTAACAAATTTTTCTATCAGGGAGTCTAAAAGAAAAATCCAGTAGCTTGTCAGTGACAATTTCTATGAAAAAATGTTTGAAGGAAAGAAATATCGATATATTGAAAAAATATCGAATTTTTACTTATCTTTGGACGTTTTGGGACCGAATCTGCTCCCGTTCTCAACATATGTAAATGTAAAGTATTTTTCTTCGAAAGTTGTGCTGCTTATAGTTTGACACTTTTCAGTGTCATACTGATGTTGGCATATGAATGTTGATATAGATAGAACATGGAATTCACTACTGAAAACTGAACATGAAAATGGTAGATTCAAGATCAATTAATGAAAACATACTGTAATAACTCATTTGTAGACTAAAATCACTCATTCATATGCCAACATCAGTTTGACACTGGAAAGTGTAAAACTATAAGCAGCATAGCTTTCAAAGAAAAATATTTTGCATTTACATGTTGAGAACGAGAGCAGATTCGGTCCCGAAACGTCCAAAGATAAGTAAAAATTCGATATTTTCTCAATATATCTATATTTCTTTCCTTCAAATATGTTTTCAAACAAATTGTCACTGACAAGCTACTGGATTTTTCTTTCAGACTCCCTGATAGAAAAATTTGTTAAACTCAGTGACATTTTGGGGCAAATCATCTGATTACGATACGAATATCTTTATTTTATAGAAACGAGGTGAGAAAATCCCAAAGAATCAAGTAAAATCAATTATTGATAGTTTCGACACAAAAAATTCTTGAACTTGAAAAATCTCGATTTTCTACACCCTATATCTCAGGAATTATCATTGCTTGACCCCAAGCGTGATGAGTCGTTGAAATGAACCCTCCAGGAAAAATCTCAAAATGCAATAATTTATAGGGTGTTCCATTAAAAAAAGTATAACTTCAGTGTATTGTGAGTTTTTGGAGACACCCTGTATGTTTCAAATAATTTCAAATGGTAGCCTATGTTGACATGCAGCTTCCTAGAGAGGTAGAATTCCAAGAAGATGAGTGGTTAGCCTTCTAGAGACCAAGGCGTTACTGGTGGCCCACCCTGTATAACCGGGAAAAAATACTCACTTTTTTCCCGTGGAAAAAAGTAATTTATGAAAAGTGATATTTTATAACTTGTCAATATAGATGAAATGTCATGCTCTTTTCTCGTCACATAAAAATAACTATTTTTTTAATAAGCCTATTTACCTTGCGCTTGGCTTGTTTTTCCTTCAGCTTCTTCAGGTCGTCCTCTTCCTTGGCGCGTTGCTTGCGCCATTCCGTGATGTACTCGCGCAGCTGTTCGTCCAGGTCGGAACGCTTCTGGTCCTGGCGCTTGATGAATTCTGGATCGCCCGCTCCTTCCCTGCGCAGAGAAAAGGAGGTAAGTGGCCGGGGGAGGGGTCGAGGGGTTTTGGAGAAAGCGAGTCAAGGGCGTCGATATGGGGGGGTAATGGGGGTAATTACCCTCCTCCTTCAAGAAGAATAATTTGTAATGGCGCGTTAACATGACAGCTTTCGTCTATCGCGGAAAGCTTGAATAAAACGAGCGCTCTGTTCACATGAACTTCTGGCAAAAGTGACAGTTGAGGAGACAAATTTCAAATCTGAAAATCAAAATATTCAACTAGAATATGGAATTGTCATTGTTCATGGAATTTCGGGAATATATCCGTTTCGAATAACGTTTTTCATATACATATTTAAGTAACTTCATCATCGACAATAATTGAACTTCGATCAATAGATAACTAATTGAAATAACATAAAGAAACATCAATATATCAGGAAGTAGGAAACAATACTAACCATAGAATTCAGTAATCTTTATTGATGACCGTGAATTCTACAGAAATGTTAATAACTATAACTGGAAGTTGTACCAGCATTTCACTATTTTCCATATTTGATTATGACATTTCTCACTACAGTTGACAACAATAACAACTAACCTGAAAAGGTAAAACCCTGGAAATCGGAGATTCTTCTAGACAAAAATAAGTCGGATCGTAATCGACTTTTTGGCATATGACCTTGATACGCGCTTTCACATAAATCGGCCAATCGAATCACAATACGCCATAAGCCAAGAGGAGAAAAGCCAGCATGTGAACGCGCCATAAGATAAGTAATAGATATATCGGGTGACACAGACTTATGGTATACCCCCGTTCCTTCTTTGTTTTTCTAGCTTTATTTCTGAAATTTTGAACATCGAATATGCTCACTAGAGGGCACTTTCTCACATTTTAGGATTTTTTTCTTCGATTTTTGAATGTAACACCCTGTATTCAATTCCATAATCGGTTAGGGATTATTAGAGTCACTGAATGGTATTAGTTAGATAAGAGTTTGGACACAGAAATGACAACATAGCGAATTCCATTTGTAAACCTGGTGGTGCACTGGTTTTTCACCAGTTTTGCACCCGCACTACGTGTCACGTCCTCTAGTGAGCATATTCGATGTCCCAAATTTCACAAATATATAGCTAGAAAAACAAAGGAGAAAAGGGGGGTATACCATATGAGTCACCAGTGTCACCTGGTAGCGATTTTACTAAATTTACTGTACGCTAGCACAAACCACGCCCACCGTAATATCTCATCTTCGAAGTACTTAGGAAAAACTCAGAGACTATTTATCCTTAACGAACTAACCTATCCCTGATTGCAATATTTTTGAGGAAGGAAAACCGAATGGAGTGTAGAAACACATTGATTAATAATATATTTCAAAAGTTGAGTTCTTCAACAAAATTGAATAAAATGAGACTGTTTATCCTAAACGCACTAACCTATTTGACTTCAAATATTTTATGAAAAAGGAAAACCAGAATGAAGTAAAAGAACATTGGTGAAAAAAAAGTTGCAAAATAAAGTTCAAGTTCACAGCGATTCGAACCATGGACCTTCAGACTGAAAGTCGACAGCGCTAACCAGTAGAACATTTGGGTATATGAATTTACTGCGTACAAGAGATTGACAACGAGAGAGATTCAGTCGAATTCGTGTCAAAATCATAAAAAGTGTATTCTGGCGTTGGAGCACAGTATATTTAGTGCGATGTGCTGACTCCGAGTATATCGGTAATGTTTGTAGATATGACGTATTATGGTGGGCGTGGTTTGTGCTAGCGTGCAGTATATTTAGTAAAATCGCCACCCGGTAGACGTTGATTGATGTTATGATTTGTGATTTCTTTGTCCGAAGACGTTTAGATTTGATTCTAATTTTCATATACAGTTTGACACACTTGAGATGATGACACCCCTGTATTTCAGTCATTTTCGAAAGCAGAGATTTGATTTTTGGTACAGACATGTAGACTTTCATGGGACGCACTTCTCGCGATTAAATATTATCGATATTTTGCTTCACGTTAATGATACCGGAAAAAGTTATTTGAAAATGTGTCATAGAAATAGATTTTGAACCTACATACCGAATTTCAACGCAAAATTCAAATTTAGAATTTCATGTAATTTTCATATTCATCCGATTTTCGATTAATGTTCCTGAATAAAAAAACTATAGAAGCGATAAAATAGCCTGAATCCATGAAATAATTGATCGAAATAACTCAAATAGACAATTATTATTTCATCAAATGTAATGGAGGATTGATGCAGACGTTTGAAGTCATAAGTTTTAAGTCCTAAGGGGAAAATGGTGATTCATGCAGCAATAATAATAATAAAACTGTCATACCATAAGAAAAGCACCCCTATTCATCAGTTCATTTTGCTCATTGTTTGTCAGTTTTATACATGTTTGAGGTGAATTGTTTTTTTCTATTAATCAGCAGTTACAAATATCTGTTTTGGATTTGAATTGATTGAAACAAATGTAAAGAAACCAAAATTACAAATGGTAGCGCACAGCTCATGTGCAGAGCTCAAGTTTTAAGTTGTAAGTCGTAAGAGATGAATGTTGGCCAACTTTTCTAACGACTTAAAACTTATGACTGCTTATGAAAATTGCATGAACGTTTATATTGAAAAGCATTGAATGAACTTCTTAAGACTTATGACTTGAAACTGCTGCATTAATCCACCATAAATTAATCGAATTTAGTTTCCCTTACTAGCCCATCTCTGAAAATTCAGGGTTTTGATTTTGCGTTACAATTCGGTATGTAGGGTCAAAATCCGTATTTAAACAACTTCTTTCTTAATATCCAACGAGAAGCAAAATATCGAGAATTCGTCCTTTTCGCGGGATCGCAGCAGGCTGGGTTCAAGTCTGCCACTCAGACTGAATATTGCTTACGACGTACGTCTGTACCAAAAATCGAAACTCTGATTTCAAGAATAACTGCTGAAAAGCAGGGTTGTCTTCATCTTAAGTGTGTATCAGCACTGTTTATTATTCATGCCTCTCTATAACATCTTCTTTTCTTCATGACCTACACCAAAACTCAATTACCCCCGTAAGAAAAAGCATTTTCGACGCCCTGAAGCGAGCTGCAGCATTTCCGCACGTATTTTCATATGTTACCGACACAACTAGCTGCTCCGGAAATCCGAACGATCTTATTTAAGTTACAGACGTAACTTTTGGGTTCCGTCGGTAACTTATGCCTAGATCAAGCAACGCGGTACATTTCATAATTTTCTATTTATATTATTTTTTTCTGCGAATATGAGGAAGGAAAATATCCTTTCTGTACAAGACCTACCTCTGCCGAAATGAACCTTTTTCCTGAAAAGTATATTTTTCGGACAATAACTATTATAAAGAACAAAGGAGACTGCTTCTTCAAACAGTCTAAACGAAACAGCCCTGAGTGAACCTTCTTTCTATAAAGTATATTTTACGGAAAACTTCTTGAGATTTCTTGAAATAAAAAAAAAACTGAGGACTGATTTCGAGCCCTTTAGTTGTGGCAATCGGACGCTTAGCTCACTTAATAGATATTCGTTTTACTATTCATTATTCCAAATTTTTTGGGATTTTCTCTCCTCGTTTCTAGGCAGAAATTACAAGATTTAATGCCGCGGATCATGTAGCTGCAATTGAATATGCTCAGCTACCATTCATTTGATGATCGCTGTATAATGGGCAAATGGTAATGAACATATCAGACGAAAATGTAAAAAAAAAACAAAAAGGCATATAAAGCAAATTCCATTATTGCTGTTAAAAATGCCGTAGTAATAACTTTTCATCCATCCTAAATTCTAATAAAAATCATTAACACAATGTGGTAGGTATACATACTGCATTAAACTCGAAGCTGAAAAAAAGCCATGAGAAGAACTGTTTCGTTATTAAAATATTAAATATCACACACATAAAAATGATTACTTCCATAATACTAAGTTCTGATTTTAGATCCAAGATTAGGCATGAGAAAAGGTTTGAATGAAGAAAGAATTAAATGGTCTTTCACTGCTATAGAGCTATGATTACCTCTATGACCAGAGATATGAATGATAAATGACACCTCAGAATGGTTTCGATCTGATGGAATAAGTATGATCAACCTTGTATGTTCAATTATCTGTAGACTGTATGTAAAAACCAAGACAATTAGAAACTTTCAATGAAGGTTCTGCTCTTCATCGAAATAGATTTTTTTTTATATTGACTTGGCCGGTAGGTAGGTACTTAATGGATGTCCATTAAAGTTTTAATGGTGAACTCAACTCAGTCCAAATTCAAAAATGAAACTGGTGATAATCGGTTAGGAATCAATTCCGAATTCTTCAATATCTTCCGGTGATTCTTAAGTAAGGACTATGGTAAGTCGAACATGATGATTCATCATGAAAACTTCACAAGCAATTTGTGAAAATCTTATCGTTCGTTTATCCCTTCTAAAGATTTGTATAATTACATGAAGTTCTAGAGAATATAATGTCAGACATATGAAATTAACAAATGATACAATTATGTTAGCATCTCAAATGAATCATTCAGAGCTTATTTATTCAAAAGCAGTAAGCGTTTACTAAAAGAGGTATCCGCAAGAAATCATTTTTATGTGTGCACACTTTTTGTACATAACGAATCATAAAATGGTTTAATGAAAGGCATATCGATTCAACCGATTCAAGTGCGCTCAACTGTTTCATTACTAGTATACCTCTTCTCTTTCGTTCACAGATTATAATCCAGCATAAAATTACATTTTCATACTTGCATGTTTCATCTATACTTTCTCTATTATACAGGGTGTCCGGAAATTATGCGCAAAAAATCAAGGGGGTGATTCTGCATGAGAAAACATGAAATTTATTTCATATATACTTGAGTCCGGAAATGCATAGTTTTCAAGATACAGTGTGTTAAACTTTGTAGAAAAAATCGTTTTTTTATGAATATCTCGAATATTCTTTCACCAATTCTCTTGAAATTTGGTTATGATATTCTTTGTCATGAGGGGCTGATTTAGCCATTTTTAAATTAGAATTGTGAAATCCAGTGGCGTCCCGGGGGCACCCTACCGAATATTTTTGTCAATAAAATGTGCGCCCCTGATTTTTTCAAATTCTCTATCTCCATATCCTAATGATCAACTAAAAATACAACATTTGAGTCTCTTGAATTGTTTTGCAATTTTGCTGCGTTTCCGTGGAAAAAAATAAATACCAATTCATTGTATAAATTTGTGCAAAACATTGCTTCACAAACGGGGGTGGAATCAAATGTAATATCCATGTCCATAGACGTAGAACAAGAATTAAGATTCATTTTCTCCGAATATTTCATAATACATGTTTGACACACTTTGTATTATCGAAAACTACGCCTTCCTGGACCAGAATACATAGTTCTCAATATACAGAGTGTAGAGTGTGTCAAACATGTATCAAGGAATATTTGAAGAAAATTAATCTTCATACTAATTCTCTATCTATGGACATTGATGCTGCATTTATTTCACCTCAGTTTTTGGAGGAATTTTTTGGCACAAATTTATGTAATAAATTGGTAATTATTTTTCTCCATGGAAATGAAGCAAATTATCAAAATAATTCAGGAGACCAAAATGTTGTATTTTTAGTTGGTCAATAGGTTATGAAGATACAGAATTCAAAAAAATCAGTGGCGCACATTTTATTGACAATAATATTCGGTAGGTTGCCCCCCGGGACGCCACTGGATCTTATAATTTCAATTGAATTATGGCTGTATCAGCCCCTCATGACGAAGAATATCATTGCCAAATTTCAAGAAAATTGGTAGGAGGACATTTGAGATATTCATAAAGAACCGATTTTATTTAAAAATTTTAACACACTGTATGTTGAAAACTATGCATTTCCGGACCCACATACATATAAAAAGAATTTCTTATTTCATCATGTAGAATCACCCCCTTGATTTTTTGCGCATAATTTCCGGACACCCTGTATAGGAATATAGGTACCTATTCTATGTAATTCCATGTTTTTGCAGCATCCGGAAATTTCATATAAATTTTCCTATTGAAACAATAAGTAATGAGTAAGTATAGACGTAATCCCATGAGTGACAGTTTTGAATGAAATATACTGGTGAACATTTTTCACACATGATTATGTGAACACATGCTTACATTGAATATTTTTGTGTTCATCAAAAAGTCCAATTAATTTTGGCATATATGAGAACGAAACATAAGAGCTTGGTCCCTATACATTTTTATTCAACAGTTGGATGGAGGAAAAATAATGAGCAAATATAAACAAACACTCCAATAGTCGACCGACTTTTGAAAATTTCTAGGCCTCTTTGAGACTAGATGGTTTCCATGACTCATGATAATGATCTTTGGATTATCAGATTACTCTCATATATGCTATCACTCAGTATTCCATAACACAGTTTTTCATGAAAATATTCTGAATAATCATCTATACCAATCAAGTAATAGATGAATCGTTTGAATGTGGTAGATGCTTATTATTGAAGCGGTAATTGTTTTGCAGAATCATAATACTCATGGAAAATTCTACTTTTCAGTCGGACTAAGGAAGTACAACGTCTGAGTTTGATCTGATTATGAACAAAGATGTAATATTTTTATACCATCTTGTTTCCGTATGAGAATATTATAAGGTTGTGATAAGAGCCTATGGGGCAGTCATTAAAATTTTAAACTCGTAAAGCGTATGACAGAAAAAAGTTTCTCAAGAACTGGATAGTAAAACAGGAGAACTGAGAAATTGAAAACTTAGTCATATCCACAAAATGCCCAATATATAACCTCTACTCGATATCTTCAACTCTAGTTGTCGAAGAGATAGAACCATCAATCACAATGTCATCCCTACGACATTCAATAACATTGTTGATTTTATGAACGAGGAATATATTAGTGCTGAAAACATGAGGCTGTGATTTCTTGTTTAAAATTGAGGTTTCTTAAATTATTATTCATTATATATTATATCCATTCTGTCTAATCTGTATATAAAATAAGATCTTTTGAAATAAGGAATGCCAAAATAGTAGTTTTTAATGTTTTTATCGAATGCAGGATATGTGCTACTGAGGAGTATCTCAAAAGAAGGAGAGCAAATGAAGTTTTATCTTTTTTTTTGTTTTTCAATATCACGACACCTCAACCCTTCCATATCGGCTGATAATGACTTCTTATGATTCCGAAACATGTTGCTTCGTAAGTAAACCATTTGATTGAATGTCGTGAATATTACTCCATGATTGATTTTGCTGTATACTGAAAAAAATAGCCAGTAGTAAATACCAAACGTTTAGTCAGTCACTACATATTCGTCTAATAATACCACTACAAAATAGTATGATACTTATGGTATAGTATGATACAATTATGTTGTGGTATTATTTGATGAATGTGGTGTCTGGCGCCTATTTTACTAAACGTTTGGTATTCACTACCGACTATTTCTATGAGTGTATATTATTCCATAGGTTGTAAGGGGTTGTCATAATAGTAATTCATGAAACGTTGAGTAACAATTTTCGAGTTTTCTTATCCAAATCCAACTTTTTCACTACGATCAAAAATTCTCAATAACTTTTTCATAATTTCAAAGGGCGTTACCTTTAAAAAAAAATTGATTCGTATGTACAAAAAGATTTCTTGAGCAGCTCCAAAGCACAAAGCTGCTAGCTTTTGTTTTTTCACGTTGACTTACTCGGCTCTGGTGGTAGTAGTGGTTGTCGTCCTATATGGTACATCGTAAAAGGCAGGGGCGGGGGTCACGGGTAGAAAAAGGAAAAAAAATCACATTGAAAAAATGGTTCAAACGATATGTACAAAAAAATTTGAAAAAATCCAAAGGCTACTCTACAAGTATAGTCTAACTACTCAAAGACATACGATTCTACCAGAAGGAACTTATTTGTGAAGAGGCGAAAAACTTACGTTTTTCTGCAAAGTAAAAAAAACAAGGCATTAATATTAAAAAGGGATCATATAACTATTACATGCTTGTTCATAATGGCTTGGCAATGAATTCTATTTCATAGTGTTTGACGAGCCAATTGAAGACAGCTAGTTTTGATTATCGCATACTGTAATAAAATTCAGAAGCTTGCTTTTATCAGTTTCAAATAAATCGCTATTTTCACAGAATAAATTGGTGAATATTGCTATTATGAAAGAGCATGCTGTCTTCTATTTCATATGTGAATATATCGTCATTTCTTCATTTTTCCATGTAAATAAATATATAGTCTTATGAATTATCGAAAATTTCCAATGTTATGACATGATATATTCTTATTGACGACTATGAAACAAGGTGATTCACTATATTTCAACACTCTATAGTAGGTACTCTTGAAAAGTTCTGAAAATAACTTGATATAGAAGTTTGTTTATAGGATTTCATCTTCATTTTTATCGAATTATGGGAACCTACTAAATACTAATTGGAAATATTTTAACCATAGAATCCCGAACTCAGAATATGAAGATTTAACCCAAATCACCTAAATAAAATATGTCTCCTGTCTGAGTTACAGGGTGTTTTATTCAAAAATTTTGAAATGTTTTTTGCCCAGTTCTTCAAAACTATTTGACGTATCACTTTCATATTTGGAGGAAAGTGTAGGTATCATACACCCAACTGAATATTGTAAAATCAACTTTTCTACCTATTACCAGAGGCGTACGACAGGGGCAATTGACTGGTTGATGCCTCCCAAATTCTACGCCACTGGCGGAATTGCAATTCTATCACAAATTTTAGATTCTTCAACAATGTCTACGTAAATATTGTACCCTGTCTCCATGACGATAAAGTCATTATTTTTCGAGATATTTCAAGTTAAACATAAATCTGCACAATCATTTTGATTTCAATGTGCATTAATTTTGTCAATATTCTGGATCAATGGATTGTATTCATTGATTAAATGAAACTTCAATCCATATTAACAATAAGAACATAATTACATAACAGACAGGAGCTGTTACTGGGTGTTTAATTATGTAATATATTAAAAAATTTAAAACGTCCTGTAACAGCTCCCATATGTTATGTTTTTATGTCAATATGGATTGAATTTCCATTTGATCGATGAATGCAGTCCATTGATCCAAAATATCGACATTATTGATACACATTAAAATCAAAATAACTGTGCTGCTTCATGTTTAACTTGAAATATCTCGAAAAATAATGACTTTATCGCTATGAAGGAAGAGTACAATATTTACGAAGAAGGTATTGAAGAATAGAAAAATTCTGATAAAATTGCAATTCCGCCAGTGGCGTAGAATTTGGAAAGGATCAACCAGTCACTTGCCCCTGTCGTACGCCCCTGGTAAGTTGGATGTATGATACCTACACTTCCCTCCAAGTATGAAAGTGATACGTCAAATAGTTTTGAAGAACTGGGCAAAAAACATTTCAAAATTTTTGAATAAAACACCCTGTAACTCATACAGAAGACATATTTTTTCTAGGTGATTTGGGTTAAATCTTTACATTTTGAGTTCGGGATTCTATGGTTGAAATATTTCCAATTTGTAATGAAACACCCTGTATATAACCTATACTGCTTCCCTATTTAAATAGGTCGCGCGATATTAAAATGCAGGTGAAGTTTTTGAATATACAGACTGTCTGATGTAAAATGCTTCAATTCGTAACTCGATCATGTATCTATCGTATTTGAAAAAAAAACAATAATTGAAAAAAAATTATGTAGACACCGATGCAAAACTTCAATAATTATCAACAACAATACCTAACCGAAACATGATTTTTTTTTTTTAATGGAATGACTTTTATTCTCTTCGTTGAAATCGTCGTCGTTTACTTGATTTGGAAACACAAAATCACAAGTATATCGAAGACTGGAACCTTTTGGCAAGATAATACACTACACTGTTTTACTATCAACCAAACCAATTTTTTTTAAACGCCTCGACACGTGTTTCGCTAACTATGTTAGCATCGTCAGGAGAAGATTAAGGCTGGTGGAAAAAGGGTCAAACCCCAAATTTTATTTTGATCTATATTTCTTTTTTATTAGTGTCATATTCGATAGTACACGTCGAGCTTTCTCAACAGTGTTTGAAATATTTGCACTCATTTCAATGCCACCCTGTATATTTATTTGAGTGTTTCCTTGAAAAATATATTTTCATTCCTAATTCATGTGACATATGGGGGAAATAATTTCTCAGTGGTAGATACTTATTTGATGATGATAAGGTTAAGCTTTTTCATTCTTTTTATAGCACTTTTGATAAAACAGTTAGTGAACGTGTTGAAATATAGTGAATCACTATGCATACTCAACATAAATGTGTAATGAATAATACTCACGTTTCAACGACTTCATCTTCCTCCTCCTCTTCTTCGCTATAAATCAGTAAATTCACATTTTCAAGACATGGACAACAAATTTTCGTTGCTGTTAGCAACAAAGCTCAAGGGACGATAAAATCATTCAAAATTCGAACATGTAGAAAAGGACAGGTAAGGTCTTGTTGCATTAAGCTCCTATATCCATTAATATTAGGGTTAGTGGCAAATCACTTACGAGTAAACTTCTTCTTCGTCAGACATGGCTAAAGGGTTTCAAAAAAAAAATCTGCAACAAAAAGAAACGATGATTATGAATCTGGAGATGTTGGGCGAGTACTGAAGAAAATAGGACAGCTCTGGCACATGAATGCCAGTGTTCTCGAATCGTGGATGTGAAACAAACAATGCCAGAGGTATATTTAGACCGGCTCGTGTCGATTTTAAACTGTCTCAAACTCATTTGTAATTTGAAATAGTACATCATTTTTATCTCCTATGATCAAAATGCCATTTAGCGTAATCAACTACTCATACGCATGGCCGTGAATGAATGATTAATAATTATATTCGCTACTTTTGTAGCTCTTCTGCAGGTTAAACACTCACAATCTACGGTCATGAAGCCAGTTTGCTTTCAAATGGATATATAAAAATTGATGGTAACTGTGAATATTGACTCTTATATCGGACCACCTTAAATATAATATTATGTATAGTGCTATTTACCGAATAGCAGAAATAGTAATTCAACAAGTGAGGTACGTAGTTTTTGAAAGGTATCAGATTGGTATAGATGTAGTTTTCATTAAGTATTAGATTAGTATAGAGGTCAGATAATTTATACGACGCTATAAAAGCAGATGATATTTTATCATTGCTCATGTAAGATGGAAGTAGAGGCCATGGCACCATATCATGAGCATATTTTTATATTGAAACTATCATTGGGCACCAAAGATGTGTATACGACGCTATGAAAATTCAGAGAACTGGAGATTCTTCCCGCAAACTACGTACTTAGCCCACTCGACTGTCTTGGTTTTTCCACACAAACCACGCACCTAGCCCACTCGACTGCCAATTGGTACGTAGTTTGTGGAAAAAAATCAAGACCGTCGAGTGAGCTAGGTAAGTAGTTTGTGGAAAAAAATCAAGACAGTCGAGTAAGCTAGGTACGTAGTTTATGAGAAAAAAATCAAGACAGCCAGCTTTTTTTACTTTCTTTTGTTTTTTGTTTGTTTTCTATTGACAAGTGATTTTCTAGGAACTTGTAATTTTTTTAGTTTTTTCATCGTATCTCCCGAACTATTGAATTCAGAGAAAAATGTTATACGGATTTTTTGTAGATTCTATCAAAAGGAATAATTTTGGTTCCATAACATTTTCAGATATTCTCAGTTGTTTTCGAGATATTTGTAATTATCTGAGAATACAATTTTCACCACTTTTGTTCCATCTTCCAATCAACAAGAGGAAAAAATATTTCATGGTTCAGTGAAAGTCAATGAGCTTCATCTATCGATAATCTTTGTTTTTCAATATATCTTCATGGTACCCTATGGGTCGTTCAAATTTTTTTTTTTATATTTTTCACTTCATTTCCTGTACTATTGGGTTTACAGAAAAAAAATATGGGTAATAAATTGTAGGAAATGTTCCAGTGGATAACTTTGCACTTTTCTGATAATTTTCAATTTTTCCATTTGTTTTCGATATATTGAATTGATAGGATTTCAAATTTTGATGTTTTGATTTTCATTTGTTTTTCCATTTTCCGATGGATGCACGGAAAAATGGTAATATAATAATTTGTTGCGTCATCAAAGAGGCATACGGTGCATTTTATCAAATTTGGATTTCGTCTATTGGTTCAGGAGATATGTCGTTTTAAAGCGAACCGTGTGTTTCGGAAAATATCCTTGAAAAACCCACTTGGAATTTTCCGACCCTGCTCAATTTCAATAGGCTTCGTCTCTCCCTGATAGGTTTTTTTCACAAAAAATGAAATCGATCGGACCACTTTTGCGATTTGTAGAGTGGTTACAAGACACTTCCAGTGAAAAATCGAAAAAACCCGGAAAAACCACCTTAGAGTTTTCCGATTTCCTTCATATTTTAATGACATGATAGTGTTTTGAGTACAATAAGATGTCGAAATTTCAAGTCGTTATGTCAAAGGGTTCCGGAGATATATCGATTTATGATTACCACAGAGTACAGACAGACAGACCACACACAAAAACCAAAATTGCTCAAAATTCGATGGGGATCATTTTCTCCTAAGTAACTATACCTCTATCTCGCTTAATTAGTTTCCGAGATAGCATTTTTCGCAAGGCCGTATAGTATACTCCACTATATGGGTATAGCGTCGTATAACAAGTATTGGAATGGTCTATATTCCAAGTCAGCGTAAAGATTCCCAAGAACTTATAATCCTCAAAAAGTGAGCAAAAATGTCAATACCCACCTCCTCTCCCTTTCCTGCCTAGGTATGCAAGATGTTCTTCGAACATTATAAGAATTCGCTGCGTCTCAAGATATGAAAAAACACTATACTTTCTCTAACGAGATTTCAGAGATACAAAAATACAGTTGAAGATTGATAGATTACCAGTTTTTCAATAATTGTACCTAAATGTTCATCTTATATGTCATTGTTATTCGGTCTAAATATCGAAATGGACACTAACGCAAGAAAATCATTAGAATGCGACTTCTGGTGATAAAATGACACATTTTTCATTTACTATTTTCCACGACCTCAAGGAGAACAACTAGACGAGAATTAGGCTCCGAATGATTTTAAACTTTTAAAGTCTATACTTAATAACTTAAACTTCGAATGTTACCATGCACTCCAGAATATCTGCTATGTATCGACCACCCTCAATTGATGAAAATGAATTTATCAATGAATTGGAATATTACTTGAATAATTGTGCAAATGTTAATATCGCAGTGCATACCATTATTGGAGATATGAACATAGATATTGCAAAAAAATCTAACATAACTAATGATTATTTGAATATCTTGAATGGTTTTGAATATAGATCGTATATTAATGAATATACTAGGGAAAGTGGCGATACAAGCTCATGTATAGATCATTGCTTCATCAAAGATTTCACCAAAAAATTTCGATACTATCCCATAGTGTTCAAGTCTGGCATAACTGACCATTACTCAACAATTCCACAAGTAGTTTCTGATAAAGAAAGAAAACATGTAAATGATGAAAGATTTGAATATTTTGTGGACAATGAAAAATTACTAGAATATGCACGAGAAGAAAATTGGCTGCAAATATACTCTGACGATAATATAAATAATGCAACAAATATGTTCATACTGAAAATTCAAAATTTGATTAGTAAGAGTACGAATCGAGTCAAAATAAGAAAGAAATAAAGAGAAACCCGTGGATGACAAATGGCCTTCTGAAATCTGCAGAAAATAAAAGATAAATTTTATCGAAATATGAAAAATAATCCTACTGTGGAGAACAGAAGAGCGTATAATCAATATAGAAATATATTTGGTAAACTTGTGCTGGAAACTAAAGCTAGATACTACCAGATAGAGCCGTATAAAAATAAAACGAATTCATCAAAATTATGGAAATCAATAAATCAATTAATAAATAAAACAGAAAAAAGTCGAAACGTAGCAAAAATAAAATTGAGTGATTGGCAAATAATAGAAGGGAAAAAGGAGATCGTAGAATCATTCAATAACTCCATTTTACTTGATTTCTGGGATTTTCTCTCCTTGTTTCTATAAAATAAAAATATTCGTATTATTTCAATATATTGGTACTGGGAAAAATCAGATGATTTGCCCCAAAATGTCACTACGTTTAAAACATTTTTCTATCAGTGAGCATAAAAGAAGAATCCAAGCTCAGTGACAATTTGTTTGAAAAATATTTGAAGGGAAGAAATATCAATATATTGAAAAAATATCGAATTTTTACTTATCTTTGGACGTTTCGGGACCGAATCTGCTCCCGTTCTCAACATAAAAATGCACAATATCTCTCTCTGGAAGTTGTCGTGCTGCTTTTAGTTTGACACTTTTCAGTGTCATACTGATGTTGGCATATGAATGAGTGATTTTAGTCTACAAATGAGTTACAGGATGAAGCAATAATGCTAATAGCATTGCTTCCTGTTCAGTTGATATATATAGAACATGGTATTCACCACTGAAAACTGAACATGAAAATGGTAGATTCGACATCAATTAATGAAAACATCCTGTAACTCATTTGTAGACTAAAATCACTCATTCATATGCCAACATCAGTATGACACTGAAAAGTGTCAAACTATAAGCAGCACAACTTCCAAAGAGAGATATTTCGCATTTTTATGTTGACAACGGAAGCAGATTCGGCCTCGAAACGTCCAGAGATAAGTAAAAATCCGATATTTTTTTACTATATCTATATTTCTTTCCTTCAAACACTTTTCAAACAAATTGTCACTGACAAGCTACTGGATTTTTCTTTTATGCTCCCTGATAGAAAGATTTGTTATACGCAGTGACATTTTGTCTGATTTGTCCCACTACAAATATATTGAAATAATACGCATATTTTTATTTCATAGAAACGAGAAGAGAAAATCCCAAAAAATCAAGTAAAATGAATGTACCACCTCCCCGATTAACCTACAGAAAGTATTTGAATTATAATAAATTTGTGATACAAACTGATTTCAAATTAAAAATCAATTGGTGTTCATGCAATAACCTTTCATCAGCTGTTCAATCTTTTTTCTCCGATTGGCAGCAAATATTAATTTTGCTGGCACATATCAATCAGCAAAGTATTATTCTTCCTGCTTAGGCAGCAAAGTGGCCACTTTGCTGATTGATAATATGTATCATCAAAATTGATAATCCATAAATCGTTTATAATTTCCCTCATATTTCATCTGAGACGGCAACAAATTCAACATATTTTTTGCCACCTCCCTTATTTTTGGAGGTGTAAGTACTCTTCCAGGTTGCTATCACTGTCCATTATATAATAATTTGAATATACCGATACTTTTTCGCACAACTGTCAGAAATTTCATGAATTGTCAAACTTTAATTATAATGGACATTTCCATAGCAACCAACCATTCCAACAACTGCGATTTCTATCAAATTTCATTTTAATTGAACACTACTGGAGAAATAAAGAGATATATATCATTATGAACAATCGGAGAAAAAATTATATGTTCAACTCGGCAGCAAAGTAGATT